AGCCGCGCTTTCACTCCAGGAAATAATACCGAAAATGGCGGTTCACTTAAAATTATTATATGTATTCGAGTTTCAAGCACGAAATGGTACTTTATAAACGTCAGATTAGTATATGAAATGTAAAATTTAAGTTTAAAATTTAAAATGACAAAATAGATTTACGTGGCGTGTGGCTTGGGATGATAGTATTTAGCATCGGTCATAATTATCCAACGGTGATAACATAGATTGGCATAAATAAGCCTAGAATTGATTCAAAACCGATTGGCTTAGTAAATAAGGAACATGACTCTCACGTCAGAGGGTGTGAGTTCGATCCCCACTACTGGAAAAATACTGTGTGATGAACATATAATATTTTTCTTGTGTTTATATATCTATAAAACGTATTTATTCACGATTATATAATGTACAATATGTTTAAGTATGTTTATCAGTGATAGCTCAGTGTCCGAGCGCTCGCCTTTAATTCAATATACTCGAGCAACCTGAGTTCGATCCCCGGTGCCGGCACCAATGAAGTTTTTAACTTTAAGTGCTGACTTATCACGTGCTCCGCGGTGAAGGAAAACATCGTGAGGAAACCTGCATATTTTCGAAATAATTACAAAAAAAATATTTTTCGAAGATATGCGAAGTCCACCAATCCTCTGTGGGGCCGCGTGGTGGACTATGGCCTGATATCCTCTGTATAGAGGAGGCCTTTGCCCAGCAGTGGGACATGTATAGGCTGTTACTTTTATGTTTATCAGTTTAGTCCCATAGCACAAGCGTTGCTTAGTTTGGGACTAAAGAACATTGTGTAAATGTGTCCTAAAATGTTCATTATTTCTTATTACTTAAATTGATTCAAATCCAATTGACGTACAAAATAATAAATATGTCTCTCCCTTACGGGGTTCGATCTAGGTTACTGAAAAATTATTGTGCGATGGACATACTATTTTTCCAGTGTTTATATTAATTAATAAAAGAAAAGTATGTTTAAATATGTTTTTTTAATAATAATAATTAATAATAAAATATCTTTATTCACATAGACGCTTGCGCGTTCTTATGAAACGTCAAAATTTTACAAGAAATTAACACGTTCGTAAGTTACCACCGGTTCGGAAAGCAGTTTCTGTTGAGAAGAAACCGGCAAGAAACTCAACAGTTGCTCTTTTTTAAAAAATCAGTTTACAATATAATAGTACAGGTACAATAGTCTTGTTTTAGCCTACGTGAGTATCAACAGTATTAACCCCACACATTGGCGTCGTCAAGATATTCGGCAATAGTATAATAGGCTTTAGCCATAAGTTTACTTTTAATTTTTCGTTTAAATTCATCAAGTGGCAGACTTAATATCGACTGTGGGATTTTATTATACATGCGCACACTTTGCCCCATGAACGAACTGTTTACTTTTTGTAGGCGAAATAATGGCGTAGTTAGTTTGTCCTTATTTCTAGTATTTAGTTTATGTCTGTCACTATTCTTTTGATAATTATTAATATTCTGTTTAACATACAAAATATTACAATAAATATATTGAGACGCAATAGTGAGTATATTAATCTCTTTAAAAAGATCTCTGAGTGTATTCCGGGCTCCGATGTTATAAATTGCTCGGACAGCCCTTTTTTGAATAATAAATATTGAATTTATATCAGATGCACTACCCCACAACAAAATGCCGTACGACAAGATGCTGTGAAAATAACTGTAGTAAACAAGTCTGGCAGTGTCGATGTCTGATCGCTGCCTAACCTTCCCAATTGCAAAAACAGCGGAGCTTAACCTATTCGCAAGAGATGATAGAAGGGGACTCCAATGGAGCTTTGAATCTACTGTGATTCCCAAGAATATAGCGGACTCAACAGGATTAAGGGTTACGCTATTCAATTTTAAGCTAAAACTTCGCCTTCTTACGTTGGGAAGGGCAAAAAGAAGGCATTTTGGTTTTTTTAGCATTTAACACCATATTATTAATGGTAAACCAATGGAGGATACGCGAAAGTGCACTATTCACGTCGTCATAATTCGATACATTTCGGTCAACCTTAAAAATAAGCGATGTGTCGTCAGCAAACAGTACAACATCACATAACTCACTGGCATAAAAGGGGAGATCATTTATATATACTAAGAATAATAATGGGCCGAAGATTGATCCTTGTGGGACACCCATTTTCATGGGGGACCCTGCGGAATTTACATCATTTATAGATACTTTTTGAATTCTATTACTAAGGTTAGAGGCAATGAGATTGAGGGCGATGTCACGAATGCCATAATAATCAAGCTTTAGAAGGAGGATTTTGTGATCCACGCAGTCGAAAGCTTTTGAAAGGTCGTAAAAAACACCTATTGCATCTTGCGACCCTTCCCAGGCGTTATAAATATGTTTGACAAGTTTCATCAGTTACCTAGTACCCATAATACAAGCTTTGCTCAATTTGGGACTAGCGTTGTGTAAAAACATTTTCTGAATATTTATTTATTGAAGTATATAAGGAACAATTAGACCTTTTATGAGTGCTTCTTACCACTTAGGTGGATTGATTTTCAATAATTCTTTCTCAGTGCTCGTATACGAAAGTAAAATAATAAATATTATACTAGAACATCATACTTCTTGATCCACTGGTTTAAATTTTCTCTTCGGTCCGTTGGTCCGTCAATGTGAGAACCCTGGCATCTGTGGACCGAATTCGCGTATTTTAAATTAAAATTGACTTGGGCACAATTTGATAACTGATTTGATTTCCACGAACTTGAACCCGTTAAAACGTAACTCCCACGTTTCGATGCCCTGTTACACCCACGCTCAGGGCACTTCAGCGGCCCTCTGTCGTAGTCTTATTTACGCCGACCCACGCCAAATATCGCTAAGGCAAACCATCCGTGCGGCATAAAAAATACGTTAAATCAATTAAGAAAACATTACACACACTAACATGTATTTGACACATACACCCATATTATATACCCTTGTTTATTGTGTATTAGATTTGAGAGTATATTCGAATTTCGAACCACTCGGCGTCCACTAGTAAGAATAAATGAGTAGAAACTGCAGTCCAACGTAAACGTAGTAATTACATTCTCTTTGCTGCAGTCATCTTTGTGATAACAACCTTGATTCCACGATGAACACCCGGCACATGTTACATGCGTGTATATTGTTCAGTCAATACATAATACGTAATTTATTCTTATCATTGTTCTGCAATTTGTCTCCGCACCCCGAGTTGACTGGGAGGGCCTAAAAGCATTATGGAATTCCTTCGGAATTCTTAATTTAAATTATTTCATATCTTATATGTCTATGTACCATATATGTCATTTCATATCTTATATGTATCTCTATTTAAATTCTTTCATAAATTATTGCAATGACTATTATAAATCAATGAAAACTTCTAAGGTACACTAGATTTCGAACCCGCAAGCACCCTCTAACTTAAAGTATGACCAACGTTTTTAAAAAGACATTCCCCAATGCGTGCAATATTTAACACATCTCAAAATGCAAAAGCACATCTAAGCAAACGGAATGAGGAAATAGAGCAATGAAAATACCAAAAAGTAATTGATCACATTTATTACGGTAAAATTTTGGCGACACTTGGCGACATTCACAGAACGCAAATGCGCAGAGCACAGAGTTTCGATTAGACGCATGGCGACCTTTAAAAAGCGGGGGTTTCCCCCAATTTGTTGTGGATTCCGTTACGTAAGCGCGGCGATTAATGGCGCCTAAAACAAGCCCACGCCGTCATCAATATTTCAGCAGAGGCCGGAGGTCGCGCCTCGCCGTTCGCTTTGATCTCTTTTATCACCCTTCCACGAATCGAGGACGGACCTTTATAACGCATAGACCCAACAAGAAATTCAGTGTGAAACGCTTTTTACTCACTCTACGTCATGCTAAACCATTCATGGTTCGTTGTACTTGTATGTATTGAATGTTCGTGAATTGTTCATATGTATAAACAATTCATCGCCTTCAACTGAGCCAACAAAACACCAGACGATAGTTTTTCATTCGTATTTATTTAGAAACGAACTGGTTCTTGATATTGATTCAGGCTTGTTAAAGTCCTTTAAATATCGCTGCCTTTTGATTTTGACTTGCCTCACCGCATTTTAAGCGAAAAGCGTTTAGTGTTGTGTTTTAGCATAACCTTGAACAAAATTCTGTATACGAAAAGAATTTTATCTTATTTAATTAAGTTGCAAAAGTCGCCATTCATAAACTATGTGAGCGAAGGTATACATATAATTATATCTTAGTTCACATGGTATACATCCAGAAAGAAAGATTCTTTTAATATACGAGCGAAGTGATAAGAAGTATATTGTTTTAAATAATTATAAAGTCTATTAATTACATTAGTGTAAGACATAATACTTGTATAATTTCGTTTAATACCTACAGAACATATATTTTATAATATATTTACAAACGTCAGCAGTCATTTTAAATGTTAGAAATATACACAATATTGAAAAAATGTACTAACTTTCTCATCCAATCTCCAAAAATAAACTCATACAAAACAAGGAAGAATAATCAAATATTAAAGCACTGAGTAAATGTTTGATTTGTCGAAAGATAATAAAATTTAACCTAATTTCCTTCTTCGTAATCCAAACAAAACGGAAACAAACCAAACCTTACGAGGTTTGGTTTGTTTCCGTTTTGTTTTTGTATGCTACAGCATATCGAAACATATTGTCATATATAGCAACATCTAGATTCCCATTATATAAAGAGAAGAAATCGAACAATTACCTGTAATCTCAATATAAGCCTCGCTAAAACGTTGACGTTACAAAATCGTTCATAACGTATAACATATATGTCACGCAACACGTAATACCATACCCAAAGACAATCGCGTGTCTGTCCGTGTGTTGCTACTTTACTCATACACTTCACTCAATTCGATTCGCACTAACAGATCCGCCACCGAAAGGTCCAAACGCGGCTAGGCCTTGACCGTTTGTCATTTCTTCCCCAACAGGTCATCCAGCAGGTCCTGGTTGGTCATGTTCAGGTCCCCCAGGAGGTCGCTCCTGGCTCCTGGGCTCCTGGGCTCCGGCCTGGTGCTCCTCCGGCCGGAGACGGAGCGCTTCCTCAGCGCGGGCGCGGAGTCCAACACCTGGTCGGTCAGCGCCTTGAAGTTGTCATTCAGCTCCGACAGGGCCGCCTCGGGGATTCCCCCGTTGGAGTTGACGAGGTCGTTGACCTTGTCCACGGCGCGGAGCCGCTCCACCAAGCGGTCGCTGTCGTGTTTCGTGCTGTTGAACTGCTTGATGTGCCTGTCTATCACCTTGCTGCTCTTCTCCAAGTCCTGCATGATGCCTTTGCAGTACGTCTCTATTGGTTTGGCCGCTTGCCTCTTCGCCTTCTTATCCGCGTCGTTAGTGATGTCGTTCACGACGATTTTCGTGGTCGTCTCTTCTACGCTCTCGTAGAAGGAGACGCTCGAGTTCCTTCTCCCTCTGGATTTGGGCCGCTCGATCTCTGTTTCTACTTCTATCTGCTCCTCTATGGACTCTTCCGTTGATTTCCTCCTCAGGCCGCTGTTCCGCCTGGAAAGCGGCTCGTCGTTGCTCTTTATCTTCTTCAGTAAGTCGGCTTTTAGGATCTCCATCCTCTCCTGCATCTCTTCTGGGGAGCAGTTCTGCAACGCGTTGTCCTCGTCGGCGATGGCCAGGTCGGCCATGCCGTTCTGCACGGCTTTGGCGATTTCGACGACGTCATCGCCCTTGGGGCCCTTTTTGGGGTTGAGGGTGGAAGGGGTGGAGCGGCTGCTAGTGGAGTTGAAGCTGCGGGCATAACGTGAGCGTGGCTCGGTGGAAGAGCTAGTATCTTCCTCGTTCGATAGCGCACTGCTGACAGAGCGAGAGTTCTCGCATAGCTTCGCAATGACGTTATGGTCGACCTGAAAACGTTTAATAATTCTCGTAGACTCTGTAGCGCAATTGCCAAGGCATTGGCTACGGTGCTGGAGGTTGTGAGTTCGATTCCCATGCGGGACAACTATTTGTATGACACATAGATAATCGTTACGATCTGGGTGTTCGTCCACGTAAAATTTATTTTAGAAAAACGCTCTTACAACACAGGATTATGTCATCATTATTTTACAGTAAGTCCTATGTTTTTCAAATAAAACACGAAAAAACATTCCGTCTGGAATATTTTATCAGCGCCGGATTTTTACTAGGGACACATTGATCAATTAATCGGTGGATGCAACAGCTAAGCTGCGGCGGTCTCCATTCCCCGACGATACAAGTATCTGTTTACTCTTTTTAAATCGATTTACGTTAAATATTGTAGACATAGTTGTTTGCCTATCTGAAATCTGTCTATGTATGCTTTGAAAAAATAAAGAAAAGTATTATGGAAAGTAAAGGTGACTTGTTGATGAATTTTAGGTCTTCAAACAAATGTTTATTATAATACAGAAGATATTGCGATGCTGTGAGCATGTGGTTGAATTAATGATTCAGATTATTAGCGTCATGTTGCAAATCAATGAAAATTACGTTCATCCGTTGTTCGTTCGCTCGCAGCGCGGTGGACTCCACACTCTTGGTCGTCTTGCTGAGCGGACGGACCACATTCAAAGTCGAGCTGCTTTTCACTGGAGACTTCACCACGCGGCTGGCGGCTGTGCTCAGCATTTTTTCTTTCATCTGTATATTATATGGAGAAAAGCTACGGCGATCCTGTTGCGACTCGATAACAATTAATCCGGTTCCAACGTACAGTAAAAACCGCATTGAAAGGCAAGCCTGGATACTGTGGTCCAGTGTCCAGGCTTGGCTTATAATTCAACACACACGTCCCGTTGCTGGGCAAAAGCTACTCCGTACAGAGAGTGTTAGGGTAGGTTGGACTCCACCACGCGACCCCACCGCGGATTGAAGGACTTCACATATCTTCTTTTTATTACTTCGAAAATATGCAGGTTTCCACACGTTTTCCTTCGCGTGATAAGTCAGCGCTTAAAATTGACAACTTTAATGATACCTCCACCGGAATTTGAACTCAGGACGGGTGCAAGCGCCCGGACACTGAGCTATCATGGCAATGACACTGAGGAACGACAAATGAAGGATGAGCATTTCTGTTACAGCCGCCCACCTCGATGATGGTCGACAGCTTGTCCGCGTTGCTGATGGCCAGGTCGAGGTCATGCCTCGTGTCCTTGTGCTTGCTCATCTCCTGGCGCAGCTGGTGCTTGAAGTTCTTCGCCTCCAGCGCGAGCCGCCGTTGGAGGGCGGATATCGTCTCCGCCTGCTCCTCCACCTTGGCGCTCAGCTCCCTCACCTGGTTGAGCAACTTCTCGCGTTCCGGCAAACCCCTACGGTGGCGGTCTTTTCATTTATTGATTTATTTAGTCTTCATTGCAATCATTAAGTAAAGAAAGCAACAAAGGGCGGAATTAATGCCCAAAGACACTCTCTACCAGTCGACACAGGATGTGGTGAGAGTTTATGGTAGGTGTAGCAAAAGACGCAAGAGTACGGCTATATAAATAACAATAAGGAATACACAGTAAATAGCATTTATTATTATGTATATTTGTATTGTTGAGGAATAGGGAAATATATTTATGTGGGAAAGGTTAAACATAAAGGAAATGACTACGTGTTCACTCTAACTGTATTTATTCGCGACTAATAGGTAAACTTAATCGGCGGGCGCAGCCGCCTCTAATTACTCAACATTGACACACACATACATATCCTTACATGCATATACTCGTACATACAAAACTCAGTCATACTGTACCTAAATATTGTAATATTCTACTTATCTATTTCTGATGTATCTCTCTTAAAAGCTAAGGTCGCGTGCTGTTCGCAACCTCTAATGGGGCGTAAATGGTGGCGATATATATCGAAAGGACATTGTGAGGAATAGTATTAATTAGTATTATACGGTGGAGACTCCATTGAAGCAGGTCAGAGACTCTGTCAAGCCATTTGGAATGAAAGACCAAGGTAGGTGTCGCTTTAAAACATGCGAAGGAGGCAAATTAACGTTCTGTTATATATTAATATTGTATACTTTAGGGCTGATGCATTCCACCTCTCTACAAAGGAGCTGTGTCAGCATATTCATAGTCGCTAAGCGCATCAGATAGAGCTTGTTCGAAAACAGTCGTAAGACAGTCGTTAGTTAGTCTCAATCCGGTCTCCATCCTGTTAATACATTTTATAATTCTATTTTCTAATTCCATTTTATATTAAGCCAGTGTTAATTAATAATAAAGTTCTTTTTTAAAAAGGCTTTTTAAATATCCCGTATAACAGTTCGCTCCGCATTAACCTTAGAATTTTGATGTCGAAGATTGTCTGCTAGCGCTCTAAGCAAAACAACGACATTCGCATGCTATTAAAATGAAACCTCGTTATCAGAGTAAAGATCTAAATACTGCTATCAACTGTACAGAAACCGGCGAAAGATAAAGTCAATTACCAAGCGACTTTCATAAGCACCAGGGAGCAATAATGATTGCCCCTGCTGTAAAGATGTCTTTATTACACTTTGAAAAGACCCTTTTTCTTTTTTTATTTAAGAAGAAGGCAAACGAGCTGGCGGTTCAACTTATGTTAAGCGATAACCACAGCCCGGGAACATTTGTGGCAAATATGTTGTGTTACCATTTAATTAAGTGGGCCAAGGTTACCTCACCCACTGGACATAATGAAGAAGGATAACACAGACACTTTACGCTGGCCTTCTATGAGGGCGTGGTATTTCCCCGGACGGACCTGCCCAATCGTACAACAGCAAAGCAACGGCAGCCTATCACTTTGAATACCTTTTTAGGGTTCTGCACCCAAAACGGGACCCTATTACTAAGACTTCGCTGTTTGTCTGTCTGGCTGTTTAATAGCAATGGCGACATCTCACGTTCGATTTATGGTTGTAAAACGATGTTCCAAATTGTGTGTATGCTGTAAAGGATATAACAATGCACGCGCCAAGTATTGCTCGAGATGCGAAAAACAATGCAGATAAAGGACGTGAACATTTTCGTCGGTGTGGCAATCTGCCGTTTAGCTTAGCAGCTAAAGCGTCAGGCCGCGAATGGCGACGACTGGGTCGTACTTGTCCTTGGCGAGCTCCAACAGGTGGTGGTGCTCGTCCCGCAGCTGTTGCAGCTGGAGGTCGCGCTCCTTGAGGCGCGCCGCCATCTCGCGGCACTGCTGGCGCAGCTGCTTGCACCTGCTCTGCTGCACGCGCATCTCCTCGTTGTGCGAGTTCAACACCTGTGGCAGCTCCGCGTTCGAGTTCTCGTATCTGTTGCAGCGTTTCAGATATGGCTAGGGGATTCGATCCCGGTCATACTGTGGTCCCGAAATTTACCGGCTTCGAATTCAATGAACCCGGGATTTTCGGGATCGATGCATCGTTCAGTTGAGTCGATAAAAGCGCGCGTGAAACGAAACGCGCTTACCTAGATTCTGACATTTTGACAGCCATCTTGTTTTCACAGCTGATTTGAGTTATTGAAGTTTATTGTTTGTTTCATAAATAATTTTATAAGAAGAAAGTATAATTCTGTTTAACCACCTTTTTAAAGATTTTAAATTTCAATATTCTATGTCTTCACAAAAGTAAAAGATAAATAAAAAATTGATTTTGGTATGTTTGACTGTCTTTTTGTTACCACTTTCCATTACCAATACAATCACGGGACTATCCCGAAATCCCGGGATTCAAAAAATCGACCGGGATCGAATCCTCTAAATATGGCTTGGTGAGTTTTCGAATGAAAATAGATTAACGACCGGTTACAATACTAAATCTACGGATAGATTTGTTTACTGGAGATAGAATGCAGTATTTAAAAGGCAGTGTCGCGTTGTAGGTGGAAAACGAGATCGGATATGGCTCGGTGAGTTTTTGAATGTCGAGAGATCAACGGCCGGTTTCAATATTACATCTAAAGATAGATTCGGTTACCGGAGATAGAATTTTGACGTAACTATTATGTAGCCAATGTCAAATACCTATCGCTAGTTACTAGCGATATCAAAGCTATCTGTAGATTGAATATTGAAAGCGGCCGTACAGCGTTTTTGATTTCAATGTCATTTCGAATTAAGGCAGTTGACATAACAAATGCTGGACTTTGATGGCTAAAAGAAAAAAGTTCCAAGAGGAACAGCAGTAATACGATACGTTGTACATTGTCAACTTGGGTGGAGGGTAAATTTATAACTTTATAGAAGCAATCTTATTTATACACGGCCGATTTGAATATTCGATCTATCTGTAGATTCGGTTACTGGAGATAGAATTCTGACACGAGTACTATGGAGCTAATGTCAAATACCTAAAGCTATAAGGATAGAACATTGAAAACGGCCGTTAGAGTTTAAATTATCATAGTACAAATTTTTATTAGTTAAACTATTGTAAGGAAAATGCAAGAGATACCTTTGCAAAGCGATTTCTTGCTTCTTTTGCATCGCACGCAATACACGATTTTCATTGCTGAGTTCCTGAAAGTTGAAGTTTACAACTATCATTCAGTATAGAAATATTATTACGTTGTGTTGCTATCTTACATAAGCAATGGGTATATTTTTTTCTGATAACTTTACAGTTTATTAAACTTTACAGTTTGACAGTCTTTTTTTTACTAGTACTAGCGGACCCGACAGACGTCCTGTATTCACGACTTTAATCCGAAAACTTATAAATAAAAACAAAAACACTCTTCGATTTGATCATTAAGATCATTCTCATCAATTCAGAGAGTTTAACAATCCTTTTGGCAACTCAAATACTATTTGAAAATCCATTTGACAGCCGATTAGTTGACATCAACGACGATCAGTGTTTCATAAACCGGGCGTTAGTTGAACTAACAAATAAGTACATTTTTTGTTTGATGGCGCGTGACAACTGTCAGTGAGAGTTGTCGTACTATTTACAATAACTTGTATGACGGTGCGGCTTTCATGTTTTATAAGCGTTCACTGTAAATAACGCACTGTACTGTCACCATTTCAATGAAGTACAGTGTAAGCTAGTGCCGTGATAGCTGAGTATCCGGGCTCTCGCCTTTAATTCAATATACTCGAGTAACCTGAGTTCGATCCCCGATGCCGGCATTGTTAATTGTAAGTGCCGACTTATCGCGTGCTTAACGGTGAAAGAAACATTGTGAGGAAACCTGCATATTTTCGAAGTAATAACAAAAAAAATATTTCGAATATATGTGAAGTCCGCCAATCCGCAGTGGGGCCGCGTGCTGGACTGTGCCCTGATACCCTCTGTACAGAGGAGGCCTTTGCCCAGAAGTGGGATATATAGGCTGTTACTTTACTTTACTTTACAGTGTAAGCTCACGATGTTTACCTGCAGATGGTAGTGAGCGTCGGCCAACTGGTTCTGCAGCTGTTTCACCCTGTGCGTCTTCGCCGAGAGCACCCTCTGCGTCACGTAGCGATCGCCCCTGCCCAGCTGGTGCGCCATCGCCACGCCCTGCGGCACCGCCCGCTTCCTCTTGCTGAGCAGGTTCAGCCGCGAGTTGCTGCTGTACACGCTCTCCACCGATTCCTTCCTGAGAGCGCTCACATTATGTAACAGACTCCTATGAGCAGTTGTTGCCTATGTCTAGTACCAGGGCCGGATTTAGGGGAGGGCAACCGGGGCTACGGCCCGGGGGCCTCCACAAAAGAGACTTCGGAAAAAAAAAATTGTGACTCGTAAAAGGTGGTAAACAACTTTCCCTTTCATATTATTTTACCTTTACCTACAGTACTTTGTACGAATACGATTACATTAAATCTTAACTGAAATCAATGGAAAATAATGGGCCAAGGAGCCTCCACTCCTTTATTGCCCTGAGGCCACCACACCTCTAAATCCGGCTCTGCCTAGTACTGTTTTTTGGATTCCGTACCCAAAGGGTAAAACGGGACCCTATTACTGAGACTCCGCTGTCTGTCTGGTCCGTCTCTCACCAGGCTGTGTCTCATGCAACCGTGATAGTTATAGTTGGAATTTTCACAGATGTATTTTGTCGCTATAACAACAAATACAAAAAAACAGACTATTTTTTTCCTTAAAAAATAATTAAGTGGGGCTCCCGTACGACAGACTTTTTTTAAAACTAACTTTAATAAATAATGGTACGGAACCCTTAGTGCGCGATTCCGACTCACACGTAGCCATTTTTTTTTTACCGACCAATTTAGGCCATGGCGACCTCTTCAACTTCAATTCCTAATTGAAGTGCGTTGCGCCCCGGCTACCTCACTCCCTAAACGAATTTATTTTGTTTATTTATTTAATCTTTATTGTCCACCTTCAGGGTAAATGTAAACAACTTTAACTTTGGCGTAATTCAATTAAAATGAATTTTAAACGATAGAGAAAAATCACTTATGAAAAAGTTAAAGTTATTTACATTTGCCCTATATTCGCTTTCTCGTAGCTGATAACAATTATTTCACACTCAAGGTACCACAGGAAAGTTGACTAATTATACCTAACAAAACAATATTTATAGTAAAATGAGTCTGACTTGAATTTGTCAATTAAGACTTAAGACGAATGTCACGAAACGTAATAACTTTTTGATAATCTTTTTAGGAAAATTCAACACTTTTAATAAAGTTAAAATAATTTAAAGTTAAGCCGTCAAACAACTAGGGCAACTAGTTAGTTGTGTATATAGATGAACAAAGTGTACATAGCTGTATATACCTGAACATGTGACGCACGGGAAGAATACTCACCTTAGGTCTTTCTTCTTATCATCTGGCATAAGACTCAACACTGACATCCTATTAAATCAACGTACAAAATACATCTTCCATACAAAACCCAAAAACAAAGCTCAAGAACGAGCCGCTAAATTGAATATTTTGTTTGATTTGACGTTGTTGTGAAAAAGCGTTACCATGACAACCGATAACTTGTTTCGAGCAATAGACAAACAAGCAAAGAGGATTTAATATATTTTTTCTAAATCGACATTTTTAAAATTTTTACAAAAACCTGAGTAATTAACGGTTTATCAAAGTAATTTATTCCTGTTGGTATGCTGAAAAAAACGCTAGGTAGATGTGATTGTGATTTGATTAACCAGAACTATAACTTTGTCTCTCGCAGAAGGTCAAAGACAGACGTATCGGATCTCTTGCCGTCGTGGTGGACTAAGTCCACCACGACGGCTGCACTCTAATCAGGGGGGGACATTAACGGATATAAGTAATGGCCTTGGGAGAAACACCATACTGAACTTTTTTCATAAATAAAGCAGTGGAGATCATATTTATTTACATTTAAAAGCCATTTGTCTGCTAATTTTTTCTTTTAAACAGATTCCTAGGGTAATGCGTTACCTCATTATTACGTATACTCAGTAACTTAGCTCTTAGAAGATATAGAAAATGGACGTGGAAAGTTAAGAATGAAATATTCTATATGTAGGTACTGCACCAAATCGAACTTCTACTATTTTTGTTAAATAATTAATTTCGAATAAAGAACAGAAGAGGTCTTCCTTTGAGTGCATTAATACCTCATTCTATAACCCCTCGCTATATACCTTAAACACGCCAAACGGCGTCATGCCAAACCCACGTCACGACGGTTTAATAGCGGAAATGTCATTCGAGCGACACCATTAACCGCTGTGACGTCACATCCAACTGTCTAGCCAGTATTAAAACACCCCGAGAAACTATTTAAGAGAAACATTACTGAGCTATCAAGCTCGCGGAATTTGAACCTTCCTCGAGCTTTGCTTTCGATGAAGCTTTAATAGTTTATAGACTGGAACGCAACTATCAGTTGTCTGTTTGTAAGTTGACTTTGGTGTTGTTAACTGCTTGTTTGGGTACTCAATACCCACAAAGTGTAATTGACTTAATTACGCGATTTAGTCGTTATTTCAGGATAATATTGTATATTCCGATCTTAGTTATATGTCGTGAAGGACATCTGAAACTTGGGTCTGCCAAAATGTGGATACCCTGATGAATCACAAATGATACCCTGATGAATTACGATGAATTTAACGCAAAATCAAAATCAAATACTTTTATTCAATATAGAACCATTACACTGACTTATTGATGGTCATAATGTTACCACCGGTTCGAAAAGAAAATGGAACAATACGTTTTGAAGCCTCCACTAGGACAGAGGCCCGGATGGGTTAGCCTGGATACCCCTATACCCCCTATACCCCTACCCCTAGCGCAGCACGCAATCCATGTACAGCACTAACAAACACTCACATAGCTCAGCATAAGATCACTCAATTCGTAGCCTACATGATACCCCGACGTAACAAAACAGCCTTCGAATTGCTTATCGATATTTAGAAGCGAGTGTCCGTACGACCGTTTGTTCGTCGCGTAATTAACTATAAAACTTTGTATTTAATTTAATTTCCAAACTATATTGACGTGTATCTTGTGCCAAAAATGATCAATTCTCCAGCAATTGTTTTTTGTAAATTCATTGTTTTCGTGATTCGGTTATAATTTCCGATTTCGTAACCCGATTTGAATTCGTAACAAACGAAGCTTTCAAAGCCACCAAGCTGACAGCAAACTGGCACTTATCGCTGGTTTTCATTTTGAGCTAGCGTGCGATTCTTGGCGCGGAATAGCTACAGTGCAGTTACTCGTCGTATGGACATAATTCTTACGAGTGATTTACACAAGCGAGTTGGAAATAGCTCACATACGCTCAGTAACTTAATAAATAATTAATATTTTTTATTCTTTTTACTCCCCTGCTAAACTGACAGCACCCCGCACATTACACGTGCTGCACCATACACGTGTTTATCAAATTCAAAACGGCTGCAGATATATTATGGTCTTCCGAGAATAATTTTACATTCATGAATCTCCACATATTGCCCCGGAAGATCTTGCCATCCAATGTCTAATCCAAACCCTTTTCTTTTTGAATTTTGAGTTTATTTCAGTGTTCTGTACCCAAAGCGTAAAACGGGACCCTATTACCTAAGATTTCGCTGTCTGTCTGTTCGTGTGTCACCAGGTTGTATCTCATGAACCGTGACAGTTATACAGTTGATATTTTCACAGATGATCTATTTCTGAGGCCGCTATAACACCAAATACTAAAAACAGAATAAAAAAAATATTTAAGTGGGGCTCCCATGTTACCGACACGATTTTTTTGCCATTTTAATTACCTTTCGTGCGCGACGCCGACTCGCACTTGGCCGGTTTTTTTTCAGAGCACGTCAAAGCGATTCATTCTACCTTATTAGGTAGAATATTTTATCTGTCTGTTGCCTAATTAGAAGATAGTACCTGGAGGACCGAGCTTTGCTCGTTTTTTTTTTTAAGTAAATCATGTATTTTGGAAATAAAAAAATAAAAAATAAAGAAAATGATCTGGTATAGAAAAAAATAACTGTGTAAATGATCGTGATACGAACCGCGGCCGTCTGTTTTTGGGCCGCCCGATTACCGACTGAGCTATTAAAACAATTTTTTTTTGCGTTGAAATTTACAGTCATATTCGAATGATATTTTTCATTCCCTGAAAACAGGGATAAAAGGACATTTTCTAAAAATGAAACCTAGCTAGATCGATTTTTCGCCCCAGAATCTACGCACATACTAAATTTCATGAAAATAGCTGGAGCCGTTTCCGAGATTCCGATTATATATATATATATGTATATATATACAAGAATTGCTCGTTTAAAGGATAAGATTTGACCAACTTATTCGAGGTTATGCTTTTTATAAACTGAAAGACGAAGCTCATTTCTTTTCATCTATGTAGATTAATTAGAGATCATAAGCTTACGTGAAGGCATTGAAGTTTATTTATTCTCGTTTTTTTCCCACCGTCTGCATAATACCACGGGCAGACTCGATATTCGCACTTACGCTTTCATCTTAATGTTTAACTTGGGTCAACGTAAACAAGTTTCAACGGACGGGAAACAGGTTAAATGAAACGCCACGTTTAAAACAATATAATATACTTACACAACAACTGTACAATAGTAACGCGTATTTACATATCACAAACTACACGCGCCGCACCAGTGTAACCAGCCGTCATACAAATGGTTGATATTTCATAGTATTCAAGACTCGTTTATTTATTAATTTTGTTCAACACTATAAACTAAACATTAGTGTATATACAGACCTTTATTTATTCTACATCCGTATTAAGTCACAAAGTATAATATTATCATGTTAAATTCAGAGGTATACAGGGTGATATTTTAGACGTAGTACATACTTTGACATAATATTAATTGAGCATTCCATAATTTTAAAAAAATATCAATATTTTATTTCGACAAGAAATAACCAGGAAAATATCAATTCAAACATTGTTTGTTTATCCCATTAAGAGTGGTCACCCTATTGATAAGCGGTTTAGTAATTATGCGCTCAGTGAAAAGTTTAAGTGCTTGTCAAAAGTTTATTGTATTGAGACGGTAAGGCAGGAATTTCTTAAGGTGTCCATAATAAAAATAATATTTGGAAAAATAAAAAAAAAATTAGGTCACAAGTATGCACCAGATCCAGATTTAGAATCAAATTCAGTATATGCTCTGTTAATATGTCCTTTGTCTATAAAATCACCGTGTATAGTGACTTAATGTTGTTCTGACCTTTGCTCTTGACTTCAAAGATTCAGGACAAAGAAAACTAGTAGTTTTTTGACAAATTTTGTTAATTTTAATAATTTAAATGTTTGAATTTTAAATTATTTTCTGCAATTCGAAATATCGTTTCTAATAAACAAGGAAATCATACAAACTTAACACAAAATCTATCTAGATAAAATTGTGAAATTTGGAGTTGGAATAGGCTATGTATAAAGCAGAGCCAATTAAATATAAGACTAGACCTACATTCAACAACTCATTGAGATTGTAGACAAGATCTTAGAAATTCTTCATAAATAACAAGGACAAGAGTATAAACAAAGTCCGATACTTTTTAGAAAAAGGAATAAATCATTTTGAAACCCCTTCACAAATAGGCCTAAATAATTAAAGAAAATCTCTAACAAATTATTATATTTCTTTTTATACTTTCTTACATTTTTATTCTGATTTTGATGTCGATAAAAACGTATTTTGTTGCAATAACATATCTCTTATACACTTACTGTGCATTTTGAGATTTTATTTTGCTTTTTAAACCTTGTATTGGGTAGAAGTCACAACAACTACTGCAACATAGAAAATGTATTGTAATCTTCCTTTCTAAAACATTGCCCCTTACTGTAGGATAGCATCATCCTGTTATAAGGACGTTTTATAAACACCCTGATAAGATACAATTGTTTGTGGGTCGCACAAATAGTTGTCCCGTTTGGGAATCGAACCCACCACGGTAACTGCGTCACGGAGTCGTCAATTTAAAAAAAACCGAACCTTAGTTGACACGACATGAAGAAATTTTTACATTTTTACAAAGACATTTGATTAGGTAACTATCGGTTTGACATTACGTAATGGACATTTTTAATAATTGCATAATTACGGAATTTTATTTATAAAGAAATAGGATATTTAACATTATACGATACGTCGAAATTATAACAATAAACAATTTTTAGAAAGGTCAAAAGAGTGGCAAATTAAACGAAAATATGAAACATATTCTAATATGAAATAATATTTGATTCAATGGAAATAAATCTGCAACAGTCTGGCATTAATTCCAACGTATGGTGTGATTTGTTTTGAGATAAGTTAAATCGTAGAAATGTAATATGTAACAATTTCATTTTCATAACACAGTCTCAATTTCACCGGCGTGAAGTGGAAGTGTTGTACTTTTGCGTTTCGCTTAGCAAGTGTGCAACGCTACGGGTGTTACAGGTGTCCATGGGTGGTTGTTATCACTTAATGCCACCTCTTCGCATAAAAAGTAGAGACATTTCCTTTATTGTTCAATGAAACGAGGATATTGTACTTGACTAAGCGAAAGTGGCGGAATTTGTAGTTCCTACAACAACAAATATCTCCGCACCCCAACCCTATATACTATATAGGGGTGGGAAACCCTATAAATACACCGCATCCAAAGCGACTTTCACCACTCTTCTCATAACTGATTTATCGTCTAAAGTCTAGTGTCATCTAAATTCCAGTGAGCTCATCAAAAATATCACATCAATTGCGTAAATCGCAACAAACGGACGAGGAACGAACGGGGGCGGTCGACCATGGAAGGGGCGGCATTTACTGGGGTTGTCGGTTGTCGGGGGGGTTGTCGGGGCGGTTGTTGGGGGCGTCATCGGCGGGGGCGTGCGCGGAGCGGTTCTGCTTGAGCCAGAGCTGGCGGTAGAAGGAGCCGCCGTCGGCCAGCAGCTGGTGGTGGGTGCCGCTCTCCGCGATGGCGCCGTCTCTCAGCACCAGGATGCGGTCGGCGTCCGCCACCGTGGCCAGCCGGTGCGCGATGCAGATGGAGGTGCGCCCCTTCGTGGCGGCCTGCAGCGCTTGCAGTATGGCCTGCGGATAGGTAAAAGTGAAGTAGCTAACGGCCTATAAGTGTCTGTTGCCAACTATGTTTGGCAAGGGATTGGGAGAGGGGTGGAGCAAGAGGGAGCTAACGAGAGGAAATAGGAATAGTTACTGTATCGATACTCTGTGTTCACATTAATAAAGATCTTGTCGTTGATTGGCCATGTCGTCGAGTACTGATTTAGTCATTAATCCTCCTTCATCATAAACAATTTAACAACGAAAGGGAATAGGAGTGGGGAGAGAGTGAAAGGGAAAGACAGAGGGAGCGAGAGGCAGCCGGCTCACGTGCTCGGTGATGGAGTCGAGGCTGGAGGTGGCCTCGTCGAAGACCACCACAGGCGCGTCCTTGAGGATGGCGCGCGCAATCGCCACGCGCTGCTTCTCGCCCCCAGACAGCTTCAGCCCGCGCTCGCCCACCTGCGTCTCGTAGCCCTGCCACAACGTGCCACAACTGATCTTAATTCTCTACCGAGCCGAATACTCTGTTAGTATCTCGCCACGACTGTGCTGTCGTCTGCGTACCCATAGACACCGGGTATGAGCAGATCGTTAATATTCAGCAAGAAAAGAGTTGCGGAAAGGACGGAGCCCTGAGGAACTCCGGCATTAGTCGTTATTGGATCAGATGAACAGCATTTTACGAATACGCGAAGAGAACGTCCACTCAGAAAGCCTTTGAACCCAATTAGGCCAGGAGATATGCCGTCAGCAGGAAGCTTGCTGAGGAGGCTAGCGCGGAAACTAGGTCAAAAGCTTTGGAGATATCTAAGGAAACCACAGTAAGTGCCTCACCATTGTTGACCACACGAGACAAACATTTGTGTGTCCGATGTGGGTGTGTGTCCACTTTTTTGCAGGTTGTCAACGCATCTGCAAGCCATGGGGGACCTGCTCGCTTGAAAACTTTTTATATAACAAAGAAAATACCAGTTCTATGCCGACCCACCCCGATGGGATATGGGTCGATGGACGTACCTTGGGCCAAGTGAGCACGGAGTCGTGCAACTCCGCCATCTTGCTGGCCTTATACACCTCCTCGGCCGATTTGGTCAAGTCGCCGTAGTGCAGGTTGTGGAATATCGTGTCGTGGAACAGAACGCAGTCCTGCAAACAACGGTGCAAAATTAAACTTTTCAGGCTTAATTATATTAAACTGTCAAGTGGACAATTATATGTTGAGTGTGACCATTTATACTCATGCATGCCATTGATGTTGTTCGGGAAAGCATCTTATGTACGGTGTTGACAGAGTTATGATTGAGCATAAACGTTTGGTTAATAAATATTACTGGGATAGTATTCAAGCATGCACCACTTTGAGAAAAACAAAAATTAAGTTATTTTTGTAAAAAATTTACACTTTCTATAATCTATTTTCCCTTTTCTATAAATGAATCATTTATCCATTGAAAATTCGTAGTGTCGTCAACAACATGCTGGGTCCTATCGCCAAAAGGCTTAATTTACTTAAGAAGTTAAGACAGGATTAATTACGAGAAAAAAAAAACACACCATTTTTGTCACTGGATTATTTTAAGTTTTTCATTTCAACATTTTCAATTTAAGATGGATCAATAGTATTATATAACTAATTATAAAATATATCAAACTATGGCCCATCTGCTGCAATATCTGTTGTATCCCTTTTTCTGCGCGCAACCAGTTGAAGTTAAAGCCAGTTCTGTAGCAGTGGATGTGGCCAAATACTGATAGTAAGAAATTGAATTATCTATTTTGACTTGAAAAGAACACTAATTATAACAGTAATTCCGATTTGAACTTTAGGTGATATTGTTGTCGCGTTATAGTCTGGGAAATATACCTGTGGTACGATCGCTATGGCCCTCCTCAGGCTAGCCAGGTCCACTTCCCTGATGTCCTGACCTCCGATGGTTATTCGGCCCGCCTGGGGCTCGAAGAACCGGTACAGCAGACGCACCATTGTCGACTTGCTGCGGGTCAGAACATTCCAGTGATGAATGCAACATCAGCTAGTAACAGTAGAAGTTTCTTTTGTTAACCTTTTTGCCATACTTGTGCATGTACTAATATTAAACTGTCTAGTGGGTTCAATCAAAATAATATTACATGTTCAATACGTGGATATCGTGGACTGCAATATTAATACTATCTAAACGCAGAAAACTTTCTATTTATATCACAATAGTCGAGCTGTTTGTTATGACTTATAAAAATAAACTAAACTAAACTAACTAAGCTAATTAGACTAACTAAACTCACTAAACTCACTAAGCTAACTAAAGTCACTAAACCAAACCCAGGAGAGGGCCTCACCCGGATCCCGATCCGCCGACGATGCCGACCTTCTCGCCGGGCGCGATGGAGAAGCTGAGCGCGTCGAAGATCGGCTTCCCGTTCACGTACTTGAAGCTCACGTCGCGGAACTCGATGCCGGCCGACGAGGGCGACACCGCCAGGGGCGCCGCGCCCGCCCCCTCCTGCCATTCAGCCATTCATTCGTGCATCTTTTGGATATGTTCATACGTCAAACCGCAGCACCGCGCCAGCCCTGGGACTATTCACTCGTTCGTTCGTTCGTCTTTTATTTAAATAATTATATTAATATCATAAACTACAGTGTTACTATTTTAATATTATTCAAACATTAATTTATTCACCTTTTTAATACATTGAAAAATCAAGCCGACCACGCAGGCCGAGCCCGGTCTCTCCCATTAGCATTATTGATATCATTCACTCTTTCGCTAATCTTTTAAATATGTTAATATGTTAAACCACATAGTGGCGCCACACCAGCTCCATAATGCGGCCAAGCCGAGCCACATTTTTGCTTTGTTTCAGAATGAACGTTTAAATATCATTCACTCATTCGTTTTTAGCGTTCGTGAGCTGGCCTTTAATTTCATATCCTCGAGGTGTACAAGAAAAATCCCGTTGCTGGCACTAATGCAATTTTAAAGTCTCACTTATAAGATGCTCAAAGGTGGAAGATATAATATGAGATAAAAATCTAAAAGAGAGAAAGAGAGAGATGGACCTTGATCTTGGACTGGACCGTCATGAGGGTGAACATGGTCTGCATGTCGATGAGCGCCTGGCGCACCTCGCGGTACACCGAGCCCAGGAAGCCCAGCGGGATGGACAGCTGGAACAGCAGCCCGTTCACCATCACCAGGTCGCCCACCGTCATGTTGCCTGCCCACGGCGTCACGTTAGCGTGCAAAAGTAGCTGGTCACTGGCCAAGTTAGCATACTCCCTTAGCGTACAACAGCAGCTGACTACTGACGAATAGACCAGCCCCAATGGGAACTATCATGGCCTCACATTAATGGCCTAGAGTAGCAATATTCATACTTTCGCGTTTCGTTTGGTGAGTGTGGTGGCAAACACTCAAAGTGGCTGGCAACAGAGCTACATCTCTTATTTTATGAGCGTCCGGGGTGTACAGTTATGTTACCATCGAGCCAGGCGCTTGATGGTAACAGAACTGAAGGTCTCCCTAGTGCAGCGGCTCGCCTTTGACGATCTCCTGGGCGGCCATGAGCATGATGACGCTGAGGCCGGCGCTGAAGATGGCGTGCTGGCCGAAGTTGAGCAGCGCCAGGCTGGAGGCCGTTTTCAGCGACGCCTCCTCGTACTTCTTCAGGCTCTGGTCGTACTTCTCCAGCTCGTACCTCTCGTTGTTGAAGTACTGAAACGCGAGTGGGGCGTTGTCAACGAAAGCTGTTATGTTTTATTGTTAAAACAGCTACTGCCGTTGCGCGAATAGATTGGTCCGTTGAAAGTATCACGACTTACATATACAATACATTCCACGAAAAGTGGAATGTATTGTAATTTTCCCATTTACCAGTTGGGTGTGGTAATTGGGGCACACTCTCTTAAAGACTAGTAACGCAATCTACAATCCCACAACTGTGTAAATGTGGTAAACTATATTTTCTGAACTCGTAGAAGTAACGTAGACAGACATGGATTAAATAAGTTTACCACCACGTGTTAGTTTTTCGGACAAATTAAACATATGATTTACATATTGAATAGTGTGAACGGAGTGCACAATTTATTTTAAATATTTTTAATTTCATAAAAAAAAAATATTTACAAATCGCCAACTGTGCTTATACAAAATATGAAATGTAAACTTAAATTTGAAATGTTTTTCTCGGTTTAACACGCTTGCAAGGGTATAATACTGAAACTGCTAAATAATAATGGAAGAAAACGGACTGTCGTGTCTGTAAAAACAGACAGTAGTCTGTTTCAATTCATAAGCACAATTCATCATCAGAAGAAAACAGACAACAGTCTGTTTTCTTCCAAGTTTCAATTATGAATTAATTGGAGGGGGCAATACGGGGGCGATCGAAATAAAATGGGGGCGATTGCAGTAAAATGTGGGCGTTTTGAGTGAAATAGGGGCGATTCGATAAAAATGGGGGCAATTAAAGTAAAATGAGGACGATTTGTGTGAAATGGGGGAGAGTTGAGTAAAATTGGGGCGATTCGATTAAAAAAATGGGGGCGATTGTAAAATGAGGACGATTGTGTGAAATGGGTGAGATTTGAGTAAAATTGGGGCGATTCGATTAAAATGGGGGCGATTAAAGTAAAATGAGGACGATTTGTGTGAAATGGGGGAGATTTGAGTAAAATTGGGGCGCGATTCGATTAAAATGGGGGCGATTAAAGTAAAATGAGGACGATTTGTGTGAAATGGGTGAGATTTGAGTAAAATTGGGGCGATTCGATTAAAATGGGGGCGATTAAAGTAAAATGAGGACGATTTGTGTGAAATGGGGGAGATTTGAGTAAAATTGGGGCGATTCGATTAAAATGGGGGCGATTAAAGTAAAATGAGGACGATTTGTGTGAAATGGGTGAGATTTGAGTAAAATTGGGGCGATTCGATTAAAATGGGGGCGATTAAAGTAAAATGAGGACGATTTGTGTGAAATGGGGGAGATTTGAGTAAAATTGGGGCGATTCGATTAAAATGGGGGCGATTAAAGTAAAATGAGGACGATTTGTGTGAAATGGGGGAGATTTGAGTAAAATTGGGGCGATTCGATTAAAATGGGGGCGAGTAGAGTAAAATGGGGGCGAGTCGAGTAAAAGGGGGGCGGCGCCACCGGGCCAGGCCCACCTTGACGGTCTCGTAGTTGATGAGCGAGTCGACCGCCTTGTTGCCGGCCTCGTTCTCGGCGCGGTTCATGTGCACGCGGAACTGCGTGCGCCACTGCGTCACGGCCAGCGTGAACGCCGCGTACACGCCCACGCAGCTCAGCGCCACGCCTGGGGGCGAGCGACGCTTACACAAGTTGCCACCCTTCTAACCCGGGCCTACCCGCAAACCGCTCAGTGCCCATTAGATGAGTAACAGTAAGGGCTCATACACTCTTGCCCTCGTTATTTGTCTGCTATTTATTTATTATGACTGCCAGTATTACATTTAAAAAAAAAGTCGTATGTGATTGATGCAACAGCTTATTGCGCAGCCAATTACAAAAAAAAACCTAAGAAGACAAACACGTCAATGATTGAAATTAACAAAATTTGCCACATGATTATTAAGTTTTGCACTAATTGTAAAACATAAATCTAAAACAATATGATTGGAATTTTGAAATCTTAAAAAAATATTTATGTATTCTATCATATATTATCTGATGGTGAAGAATCATTTCTGGGTGGGCTATTGGGTGGTGTCATACGTTGAGGAATGATTACCAGCGAAGGCCAGGCCTCCCTTCAATCCGAGGATCGAGGAGACCAGCGCCAGCTCGAAGATTGTCGGCACCACGTTGAACACCATCGCGGACAGGACGAAATTGATGGCGCGCGAGCCCCTGTCTATCGTCTGTAAGACATACAATTCCAAAAAAAATATATACAAAAATAGTACACCCAATATTACAATAGAAATTACATTTCATGATGCTTATAAATTACATCATAATGTCAAATTAAGTTCAAGTGCAGTATTAAATTTTAACCGTTTTTTACAGTTATAAATATTTTTTCTGTGTTGAGATCATAAGATTTAGAAGTACATATTATGTACAAACATCAATATCGCTAATTAAAAATATGATTTTCTAAATTATATCATTGGGTGTATACCTCATTTTAAGCGAGTATCTTGTTTTATGTGAAAAGGTGGCAATTGAGTTGGCGTTTCACCTGACGTTAGGCCCATGGACATTTACAACACCCATAGGGTTACAGATGCGTTGCCACCTTGTAATAAAGCGGGCCCCGGCTACCTCACCCACCACTTGCCCTTCACGCCGGTCTCCGTGAGGTTGTATTGCCACCGTGAGTCCTGGTCTTCCGCACCTTGGACAGGGCGCCGGTCTGGCGGCCCAGGTGGAAGCCCAGGTCGAGGTTGTGGAGGTGGGTGAAGACGTTGCAGGCCAGCCGCCTGATGGAGTGCTGGGCCACCTTCGCGAACACGGCGTTCCGGAGCTCGTTGAAGCCGGCCGCGGAGGCGCGCGCCATCCCGTCTAAGGCGGAGAGAAATCGAAACGTTCTAGAACGTTCTGGAACATTCGAGATAATTCCCGCCACCACCTTTTTTTAAACAACTAAACGACTTATATTTGCGGTCCTTGCTAAATAATAACCCTTATAATAATAATAATAAAACCATTTAATCAGCTCAACAAACAACACTGGCAAAAAATAAACAATCGACATGTACATATGTAGAAAAAAAAAAAAAGTGTAATTAATATTAGTGAAAAATAAAAAAGAGGAAAAACTATAATATTCAAGAAAAATATAAACTATGTGCAGAAAATGTGAACGTTGCAATGCTGAGTTGATAGGGTCAGCTGCTCAGCATAAGCTGACCCCCGCTAAGTCCATTATTGGATAAAAATGCGTTCTTTGCGTCCACATAATGTTTGGGGGGTTCTGCAGTAGAGTACCGGGTGTCTATTTAAAAAAATCGTTGTCCATATTTCAGGCTAAGTCATGCAGCTAAGTCCTGAAGGAATAATGCGATTTTTCACGACTTATTGAATTTTCAAACCCATTTATCTCCAAATGACGAATTTTGGACTTAGCGGGTTTTCCTTCTACGCCCACGATATAATGTGGACATTTGAAAATGTCAACGATTTCTTTTTGAATGTTATGACGATAACGGTGATGGCATCAAGTGTGCCCTAGTAAAGGGCAAACAAGCGAACAGCGGCGCTCACATCCGAGCAGCAGGCAGACGGCGGAGGTGCCCAGGAGCTGGGGCGCCGTGGCGACGTCCAGCAGAAGGTCCCCGGCCGCCGTCCGGTTCACCTCGTCCACCGCGTACTTGAACAGGAACGGCACCGTCACGTTCATCACTTTCGCGCCGAACAGGAGCGAGAGGGACACCATCACCCGGTTGCGGATCATCGCGTTGTCCTGGAACGTGAGCGAGCGCTTTAACAGTGACGAAGCGAATCGACCGAGTGACGTCATGATTCGTGACGTCTCTCGGCCGGTTCACTGTGTGGTGCTGATATCTACGGTAAGATTTGTCCAAGTATGTGTTTGTGCAGGTGGGTGGCCACCTGTTAATAAAGTGGGCCCCGGCTGCCTCACTCCACTTCACGCTGGTCTTCTGTGAAGTTGTGGTATTTACCCGGACGGACCTGCCCATTAGTGCAACAGCCGAAACTGTTACGTGGCCCCACCACAGTCATATCTTCAAATGGAATCTGATTATTCAAAAGGCTTTGCTTTCATAAAGCCTTCAGAAAAGCAAAAACATAATTCATAAAAAAAAAAGAAAGCTGTTTGCCAAATATTTATTAAAATTATTGAAACATGGATAGCAATGTATTCCCAAAAATTTAATAAATAGCACATATACTAAATGATTAATTTCTCCCATCTATAACCCCGACGGGTAACTATTGTTGAATATTGTGATTTTAACGTCCAAACAAGTAAAATTAAGATTACTCACTTTAGGCCACACATACTCCATCATTCCCCTGATCATGTCCATCCCGGATACAGGTTTCGCATCACCCAAGTGTATATCTTCACGGGACAAAACAGAGGCACCTGGGTGAAAGCAGTCTCTCTTTTGGATACCTAAGGACGGGACACCATATCAGGATAGTTCGAGGATGCAGGTAACATAAAATGAAGGAATGGGGGTGCAAGTGGACACATCAAGTAAGGATGAGTGCAAGGAGGGATTAAGAGCTGCATTCCAACCAAGTTTTAACAAAGCAAAAGTGTTATGATTCTAACTGTGGATAGAAATGTATGCAAACAAATAAAATCAGTAAAAAAAAATGTGTCTTAAATGAGCATATTTGACAATATATTAATACCATATATGTGTTAAAAGGAACATGTTATACACATAGGTTTATTTTAATGAGGCGTAGTACTCTTTGCTTACATAAAGATCTCTTCAAATGGGAAAACAGCAATGTTATAATTAATAACATTGTAAATTACATAACATTGAAAAAAAAAACAAAAAATATGTCTAAATGCTCAAATTACAGGGAAGTATTTGCAGCCCAGCAGTGAGACTAACTATTACAGTAGTACTATAATTATATAGTAGATGTAAAAAAATTTCAACCATTATAAAATTAACAACATCAAACTAGATAACAGAACTATAATTATGGATATATATGTGTTCGTACACAATATCATATACATAACATAATCAATTGATAAATATTATTTTATGGTACAAAAATTTCAACCATAATAAAAATTAACAACATCAAACTAGATAACGGAACTATAAATATGGATATATATGTGTTCATACACAATATCATATACATATTACAATCAATTGATACATATTATTTTATGGAAAGCATTAATAATCAAGTTAAATTTCAATAATATTAAATTGCACTACATACTATGTTGCAAATAATTTTAAGTTTCTTTTTTATTTAAATTTCTATTGACAATTATTTTGATATGGTCCATTTGTACACACACATTTACAAACAGCGCATACATATGGCAATTAACGACTACTTGTTATTTGGGTGCATGATGACTCTTAAATTTTTAGGCATACTTGTGTCAAGACTTACATGTATATATAATATCACTCTTACAAGGTCAAATTTGTGTTACGCAACAAAACAAAGGCGCTTATATCAGTGTATTTTAAAACAAAAATGTTGAATTCGGTTACATATACCTATTTGTTTCGCTTTTAACTTACCAACTGGAATCTTTCCAGTTTTTGACTTGTTAGCCAACACCGCCGCCAAAACATTTTTCGCAGTATCTGACCCCGTTGGAGCATTAGGAGAGGATGAAGAATAGTTCTAAAAACAATGAAAGCACTGTAACAGCCATTTGTAGATAAAAAAAACCACTCGAAAACAAATAATCAAATAGTTGACTTGTGAGTCTTAACCTACCCTGGTATAACTTGCTGCGGCACATCGTTTACAAGTAAAACTAAACTGTGGTTTATTTAAAAAAACTGTTTTCGTGTTGCAAAACGATTTTGTAAACCTAATATGATTCTGAATTAATTTATTAAAATTCTTATTTGACAGCAGCGCCGCCGCCATGGTCATAGACTGACACCTGACATCTAACTGACAGATTTCAGAAATGACAGAATGATACATCTAAGTTTCTAAGTAGGTAGCGTTTCCTTATTTAGCTAAGTAAATCAAGAATTACCGTGTTGCAAGGGTAAAATCGTCTTTGTAGAAAGTAGACAAAAGTACGGTGAATCTGCTAAAAGTGTACTGTAAAAATTACCGTGTAATTTTTCAAAGGAAAAAACAACATTCAAATCTCGCTCTGTATTCATTAACAAACTTCAAAAGGAGGAGGTTCTCAATTCGACTGTATTTTTTTTATGTTTGTTACCTCATAATGAACCGATTTTGATGATTCTTTTTTTATTTGTAAGCTGGTGCTTCCCATATGGTCATATTAATTTCATTGTTATTGGGTCCTGGGCTCCGGAGATACTTAGGGAACTCCTGAAAATCAATTATAAAATGACTACAGAGCGAGATATTTAGTCGTTTTTATGTTTTCGTTTGTAAAAAAATTGTTATTTTATAATTGATTTTCAGGAGTTTCCTATTAGCATAGACATTATATGCATTATCTAATATTTTATCCATATTTTGCTTTTAAAATTTGTTATAATATAAAGAATCGACCCGACCATGCCTCTGTTTGTAATATTTCAAACGTTAGGACTGAATGATTTTGAGACGTTTCCTTCTCCCAAGGGATCAATTGACCATATAATTATATATATCCTAGCTTATCTAATCCAATATTTATCCTAGCTTTCTGTACGGGCATAGGGCTGTTGGAGGTTTTAATTAAACGCGTCATTGTAAATAAAACGTCCCGTGGCCCCTTCATCTCGTTCCTTATATTATAGATGACTGTTGGTTGAAGTCGAATGAAACAACGTCCCAATGTTGTATAGTAACCAGCTTTTATAGCAATGAAAATGAGGGATATGTATGGTCACTTCTGTGTCCGTAAGCGCCAGCGTGGGCAAGTCCTCAATAAAAGCACACACTGGATAAAACTGTTTATTAGTTATATTAGCCATGTGGCAAATTATGGTTACACAAGCAATACACTATATGAAACATCAGAGCAATATAGTACCACAAATGATATGGGAATATTCCACAAGTTAGAAAATGCTCGTATAATTACGTGTCCATTGTTCCTCTCTTAAACTCTGTCTATGACATGTCGTCTCTATTCCGAACTCGCGTTCCGGAAATGCGTTGTTGAGTGCGTTCGGAAACACCACACGTTGTTGGTGCGTTCGGAAACGCCACAAAAATATGTGAGTCAGAACAAACTGAACGGGGTTCTACGACACACGAACATCAACCCTCTATCTCGGCGAGTCAGACTACTGCGCGGGGATTGCGTAGGGAATTTTTAATATGTAAAAAAGATGTCGCCTAGGTAGAGAGAAAAGAGCAATGGAATAATTTTGAAGGCTTGCCAAAATTAGTCGAATGCCTTCACAACATCGAACAAGATTGCACTTGCAACAACTTGGGGTTGTTTGGGTGGAAGCTGAATTATTTGGTGGTGAAGACACATATTAGTGTACATTATGTTATTATATCTTTAACTTATCCGCGGTCAATCAAATAAATCTCCGACAGGTAGACTAGACAGAACTTATTTACGTAATACTTACAACTTTCTTTCTTTAGTAATAACTCTCAACACAAAAAAATTCTTCGTATTTGTTTATTTTACTGCAATTTCTTTTAAACCATACTCGAAATTTCGTTAACCGGTTATAAAGAAAACTTTAATTTAAAACTTAAATTAGTAAGTGACTTGAGACATCAAGGAAAAACCACATGTTAAAGAATAACTTGTACTTTGATTACTTTGATGTCTTTAAATGCTTAAAGAAAGGTTCAATATGACAAGGACCTGAAATGAAAATAAATACTTCTATATACTATATTACTAACCAGAAAAAACGCAGAAATATAACACTTCCACTTTACACCGGTCTTCTGTGATCTCATGGTACTTATGCAGATGGACCTGCCCATTCAAGCAACAGCCGAAGCTGTTGCATGGCCCACATTTTAATGAAATGATGATGAAGTGAAATAATACACAATTATGAAAAATCTAACATTTAATAAACTTCTCTAATATCGCAACATATTGACACATGAGTTCTACACAATTATTTAAAATTACATTGTCTTCACAGGAATTCCTTAATTTATTAACAGCAAATTTTAAATTTAATAGTTTTTCTTCAACCATTGGTGTTATCAGGTCTATGAGCAGTCTATCATCAGAGCAAATGGCGGCAGAATAAATAAGTCTGCTAACATCAGTGTGTTCTTTGTAATAATATTTAGCCACCATTAACAATCCATAGAAGTTGAAACTTAGGCCCCTAAAATCAATATACAATTCTGTATTCAAATTATGGTTGCTGATAAATGTCAACTGGTCTTGTGAAAAATTTATTGCATTTGCGTTTAAAAAAGTTTTAATATGTTCAAAATTGAAATAAACGCAGTCCAATTCATTACTTGGCAAAAAGAAACCATACTCAGTTATTAATTTTAAATTATGGCTATCTCCATAACAAATAAACACCTGCGAATGTGGTTTAAAATTATTTTTTGTGTAAATAGAAAATTGGATATTAGCAAAAATATCCAAACATATATTTTTTAAAGAAATATTTTTAACACTGCTGCTTACTAATAGCTTTGTTTCATTTTTAGCACTGGGACTATGATTTATCATATCTAAAAATGGACAGAGGGAAATTTTTGTGTTATCTCTAATTAATGCTATGATTGAGTTTATTTCATCCTGTAAATCAAATACTTTTGTTAAATCCATAAAAACACATCTTGTATTTACCGTAAAATAGGCCCATTCATATAAAGATTTAGTAAAATAAGATCTCAATGTGTCTACAATAGTAGCGCTACTTGTATTATTCATTAAAACTTCTTCAAAAATATTAAAAGATTCTTTTATGATATCTTTCTGCTTAGTAATTGCTGACATTATTCCTTGATCAATAAAATATTGCAAGTCATCGGATAAAAAATAAGGAACTGTGTACTCTTTAGGTAAGCTCTCTAAGTAAGTGTACCACTTAGTTTGTGTACCTTGTAACTTTAAATACACTAAGTAAAATGCCATTAATGACTGGAATGATACACTTTGTTTATGCTCTAGAAAACATTGCTTCTTATTCTCCATAAATATATTACAAAACACTGTATCTAGTACCAAAGTTGTTATGTTAATAGTTAAATTTAGAGGAAGGGTAATGAGTTCATCCCCCGCGCATATCTTCTTTTTTGTGAGTACTCCGCGTCCTGTGTTTTTAAACACTGCTAGTCCTAAGTTTTTATTACGACGAACACCGTGCTTTATTAGCCATGTGTTCAATAAAATTAAATCTTCGCTGTTATTACATGCACAATAATCTCGCAACTTTTTCAATTTCCTTTTACGTTTCGTCCGACCCATTTTATTATTGACAAATCATGTGGGGTTTTTATTTATTATGCACTAGGTTCAACTGCATTCTATGCCTGCGTTATTGGTTTATTTGGTGTACATTACTTTCTTGTAATGTTTTTTTTTTTTTTATGACATTGCCAAATTGAAATAACTATGACATTGACAATACATAAATGGAGTGCAGTGCTGATGGTGCAGAGTATAAATAAGGAGTCTGGATAGTTATCTCAATGTAGAGAAAATGTTTACAAAATAGAATAAAACAGATTTATTTTGTGCTCCGTAGCGTAGATATCATGGTATTGGCTTAAGGACCGGGGGCCGTGAGTTCGATTGAGACACGGGACTACTATATTATATATTTGTGTGAACCGTGACCCACAGATAAAAAAAGGAAAATACGATGATGTTACGGTAGGTTTATGTTGTACATTTCTATGAAACTGCCAAAAATTGTTCGAACATAATCTCTACTCTGTTATCAATTGACTATCGCCTTTCTATTAATTTCTCGATACATTTTCTTATAATTTTTTAATTATTACATACTAGCGTGGGGCCGCTGTGCTTCGCTTCACCTTAATTACATATAATGCAGTATATCTGCGTGAAATACATATTTTGTGTACTAGAGTTTCACTTAAAAAAATTGATATAACAGTGTATAATACAAAAGTATGTGTCTTAAAACGTTCAACAATTTCATTTGAATTAACTCGGAACGATGCCAGATCAATCTGACGTACGTCAACGCTACGCAATATCCAACAACACCTCATGTGTGATGTAGTGGGGAGTTAAGTGGATCAAAAATGAATCATATGAGTCCGTTAAGACATTAATAATAATTATGCATGATTAGCAAGCCTACGTACTATCGTTTTGCGTCATGCATCTTGCGCGGACTGACAGCACGTATGAACAATATCTAGAGGTCCTTAACCTCCAGATAGGTTCTAATGTAACAATGCATTTGCAGCCACGGATAGTGGCTGCAATGCAAACGCAGAATTTTGAACCTAAATCATTAGGACCCTTGTTTGTACAATCTTCTACCTACCTTGTCATCAGCTTCTTGCATTCTTCCTGAGCCCGCAGTTTCTTTAGTTGAGTTTTCGAGAAAGCTAACAGCAAACTACACTTAAGGCCCATTTACACGATCCATTTTCTTGTACATACAAGAGCAATCGTTGAATGCAATAAGTTGCACGCAATAATTGACCATCAAGAATTGTAAGCAACAGTTTACACGCAGATATAGTAAAAAAATTGAATGCGATTATTGAATGCAAGTCTTGACAAGAAATAATTGCAAATGTCTTTTGTTGACACCAATGCAATTATCTTTAGGCGATTATTGCTTTCAAGTTTTGACTTGTCTAAACACATGCTTGTATGTGCGTGTACAATTTATTGGCGTGTTGCTTCAAGCATTGCACGTATTTGCGTTGACAAATTTTTCATGCAAGTGTTGAACGTTTTACAAAGGGCTATTTTTAAAAAAAAATGGCTCAATAATAAGTGTTCAAGTTAGATTATGCCGATTAAATATATTTCATTGAGATTTATTTATTATGATCCATATATTATTATTCATATTTTTATCCAACTTTTTTACGACCTTTTCTCAATAGAATAGCAACGATTAAATACCCTTACTCATTGCACTAATTTTTGCAAAGGAAGAGAGAATGCAATTGAATACAAGAATTGCTTAAGAAATTATTGTGTGTGCTGTTTACACCAAGGAAAGTTTTGAAACAAAACTTGAAGCAAGTCTTGTTCAACAGTCAAGAATGTTATGTGCTGTTTAGACAATGCAACTCATTTATTGCTTCAATTTAATTGTATATAACAGGCAAGAAACTTGCACCGTGTATATGGGCCTTTAATTTTAAACTGGCAATACTCTTGTATGTCATTGTAAAAATTAAAATGTTGTCTATGTCTTTAACTATAATCTATATGTTTGTTTGAAATTAACGTGCAGTAACGAGTTTTAAAGTATTACAATTCTGAAGTTGAGTTTATTTGTTTTTTTGAAGAATTTAAACTTTTCAAATGTCTCAACAGCAAACAAAAAATTGTATTACTCTAAGGGGTTCTGCTCAAATTATTTGCGAGTATTTAAGTAAGCTAAAAATGTGTAAAATGTAGTACCGTACTTAAGCTAAATTCGCTTTCTTCGTAATTTCAGACGATTTTTATATTAAATATAACTTTCATTAGCTTTCCCAAAAAGAGAAACAATGCGTACTAAAATTGTAATATTTATATTTCAGTATCTTCACAAAAGGGTACATTTGTTATCAGTACGCGGTTAAAAATCTATTATTTAAGTACATTAAAATGTTATAGTCGCTTTAAAATTGTGATATATAACCTTTTTATAAATAACCTTTTTATAAATAACTTATTTTACTTATGTAGCATTGGAGGGGATTTTACTAATTATGTTTACATTTTTAGAGTTTGCTATTAATTCGGTTTTGTTTCAAAGAGGACTGTATCCCCCGGAAACGTTTAAAGCTGAACAACAATACGGAATTACCCTACTCATATCTGAGGATCCACTTATCAAAAGTTTCCTCACTAATCTTCTAACCCAGAGTGAAGGTATTAATTATCAATACTCATGTTGGCACAACTATTTATTTCATCAACTTTCTTTCTTTGGTATTAACGCTCAATACAAAGAATTCTTTGTATTTGTTGATTTTACTGCATGTTCTTTTAAACTATACTCGAAATTTTGTTAACCTGTAAAAAAGAAAACTTTAATTTAAAATTTAAATTAGTAATGGACTTGAGACACCAAGAAAAAACCACATGTTAAAGATTAATTGCTCTATGATGTCTTTAATTTCTAAAAGAAAGATTCAATATGACAAGGACCTGAATTGAAAATATATACCTCACTCTCCAGAAGAAACGCAATCCACTTATCAAAAGTTTCCTCAGTAATCTTCAAACCCAAAGTGAAGGTATTAATTATCAATACTCATGTTGCCAAAAATGTTTGTTTCATTGTTAAAATTATTTGTTTTGGTATAGTGAATAGCAAACATCTTGAAAATGTATCTGATTGCTTAATAGTTGATACAAATTTTAGGTATAATTTTCCCTCATCTAAAATTTTTGTGTAAAAACTAGTAATTATTTTTTACAGAATGGATTGTTAATAAGAAGGTTACCAAACTTTCACTTGTAATTATAAATGTGGCAAACAAGGAAGTACTAGAATGTTGGGATTTTAATGTACAGTATGAGGATGGAGATGTGGCATTATCAAAAGAAAAGAATGAAACTGTAGGTAGCAAGGAATTGAAAAAGATCCAGCAAGAGATCCGAGATGTGATGTTGCAAGTCGCAGCTACTATTTCATACTTACCTTTCTTAGACTGTAGGTGTTCATTTGATGTATTAGTTCATGCAAAACAGCATTGTGATATACCAGAGAAGTGGGCTGAGGCGGAACCTATTTCGATTTCAAATGCTCAGAATGTACAACTTAAAACATTCTCCACAAGTCTTCACAAGATGGAGACAGTTGTGAGTTATAAGTTAGCAGACTAGTTAATTTTTAATACAAAATTTGTAACAAAAAAGCACTTGAACTAACACTCAGTTATGTGTAGTCTTTAGTAGTTGTTGTGGGTCTTCTCCAAATGGTAATAAAATTCAATATTCTATCTACCAAACTATATTTAAAAGAAGAAACCTATTAGATTTGACATTTATATTTTTTTTTTGCACAAGAATTTTGTAATGTTTGGCTAAGGGAACATTTTGTTATGTTACTTAATCTAGTGTCTTTTTGATATATGTTTATATAAATATTTTACCATTTGTAAATGCAGCTTTAAAAAATTGATTATAATTAACCATAACTTCAGTTAGTACTTGAGCAGAGGGCAAAAATATTTATTGCAAGACTACTGGAATGTTAAGGATAGCTGGCTAGTTGGTTACCGCCTCCCATCTTTGTATCTCCTGTGCAGAATTAATATTCACTACTGCATAAGCCTTTTCCCCAAATTTTACTGGCACTATTTAGTTTTGTGTGACATGTACTACTGCATTGAGCTACTTTTCATAATCATAAAGGATGTATTCTTTGCTAATATACAATTTATTGAATGCGTGAAACCAGTCTCTTTGTAATAATGCTATCTAAATAAATTCATTCTAAAATTAATATTATTTAAGATAAAATGTATGTGTTTTACATTATTTATTTGTGCTATTGATCACAGTATGGGTAAAATATTTTTTTCCTTTGAATTTGGCCTTTGAATTGCATCACTTTAGTAGTTAGTATGTAATAGTAATCAGGGACATAAAAATTATAAAAGTACAAAAGTTTCATGCATATAATTAGATATACTTCTTTAATGCATTTTTTGGTTTGTTTGGTGTTATATGAGAAATTTTATTTAAATAATTATTTATGTTTCTTAATATAATATGAACATTGTCCAACACAATATCATAAAAAATTACAAATAGGTACCACTTTGATATCACTATACTGTGCAGTATTTTGTAACATAACTTAATGTTTTTTTTTCATATTTCATAAATGTACATTTCATGCTTTAGTTTTAATATAGTTATCATATTAATAATCTGTACATATCTGTGATAAGTGAGTGTAATTGTCGGTTTTTTATAATTTTTAAGAGAAAAAGGTTTTTGTGCTGTATTGTCTGTCAAATGTGTAATCAGAAAATAATTTATTATGATATCAAGCTTGTTTTAAGTAAGTGATGAAGAACACTCCAAAAACCGGCAGTATGTGCTTAAAATCCAGAAACCACCATGATTTTGGAAGAGCACCATTATAAATGTAACAATAATAGAGGGAGGCGTTTTCTTAAATTGCTTAAACTTTCTTAGTAAAGAACATAAGAAAGCTTTTATAAGTACTTGTTAAGATTTAAACTGTGAGTGACAATTATGCACTGTAATATTTTTGGTTTATCTTTATCTGAAGTACTTTCTTAATTTCTATTGAAACTTGTATAGTTGTGGCGGTGTGACAAATTTATCTGCCAAAATTCTTTTATTCATAGTGGTAAAGGACTGTGAAGTGAACATTTTGGCTGTATGATCACATATTAGGATGTCATCCCTCTTGAGACCTATCAACATTGAACTTTATTCTGCATATATGAGACTACTTTCACAGGCGCGTTTAAGATATGTTTTGCGCGTTTCCTTTCACTATCAATTGGCGGTATAATATCTGGAAAGTGTGGAATTGTTTGTTTAATTTGTAATTGATTGGTTTAAGTGTACAGATGTAAAATTTTATCAGGATTTGTAACTGTGTCTGCGATTGCGAACATTTAAGATGTAAATATTTAATTATATAAAAAATTAGTATATGCTCTTTCCTAAGCTACTTATCGAATAAAATGTTTTGTAATGTTTTGCGATTTTGTATCTCATTTTGTTTTATTTCTTTCTCAACTATACTGAACAAAAACTTGACTTGTATTCAATGAAAATCAGTACAATGATTTATTAATGTATTAATAATGTATAAATTATTTAATATAGGAACATATAACTGCGCTTAAATGTATGCTGAAATGTTTAGTGATGTAAGTAATATGTATGCTGTTATCGAGCAAATTTTTGTTTCAAAAGATGATATATCCTCTCTGCATAGTTGGCGTCTATATTTATCTTCTAAGCTGCGCTTTGTGCTTCCGTGCTAAGGTAAAAAGGTCACAGTTTTAAATGATTACACTGGTTGACCTCTGCTATAGGTCACTGGTCACCCGTTGTTTATCAAGAAAGAACCGCCACTCATACGCAATAGAACACCAGATTTAGCAGATATGTTGCCAAGGGGCCATCCATTAATCAAGAGATGTATTTTAACCTCCTTCCTCCCCTTAATCCTTCTTCCCCCTTGATTCTTAGTGAGGTTTATTTTTAGTAGTACCTACAAAGAATCTTAGAATTTTTAGAATATTATCTTTTAGCCAAAATAACAATAACAGGCGACTGGCAAGCCGAGCCGGATCGTTGTCACTGCGCGCGGGGACGTCAGAATACACGCCGATTTTCGGTTTAGAAATGGCGCGTTTGACGTAAAAATAAGACACGTGATATCTTACTACACACTCCCTCCCCCCTTGTAATATTTCGTGTTTTTGTCAAACCCCCTTCCCCACCTTTCGATAAATATAAATAACGATAACGTATTTTCTGACTGCTCATTCATGTTCTATTAATTTCCTTAGGCATACCTACATTCCTTCGACTACCGTTAGTTCAAGCTTTTTTCGAAGGTATTACATATTATGATTTATGAGCGTCATTCTGGTGGACATTTTCAGTTAAAACACATGAGGTACCTCTCCTTATACTTCTGCACTATATAAACGAAACGCGATAAAATACATAGAAACAAAAATAATGTTCCTAACACAATTCAAATATTACCCGAATATGGGCGCGGAATGATTTTTAAGGTTGAACTAACAAAAAACTTATGAACTGTGGTAGGGCCACGCAAAAATCTTCTCTGTTGCACGAATGGGCAACCGACCGGGTAAACACCACTGTACCACAACCTCACAGAAGACGGGCGTGCAGTGGAAGTGTTATACTTCTGTGATTCTTCTGCGAGAGAAGTAGCCGGCGCCCACTTTATTAAAAGGTGGCTACTATTATTATGAATTGAATATATAGGACACATTTTTTTTACACAACCTTTTCCAGTCCCAAACTAAGCAAAGCTTGTACTATGGGTACTAGAAAACTGATAAACATACTTTTCTTTTGTAAATAAATACATATTATACATATATAAACACCCAGACACTAGAAAAACACCATGTTCATCACACAATATTTTTCCAGTAGTGGGGTAACACTATCCACAACGCCAACGCCATTCGGGTCGTCAAAGGACAACAGGTACAGTAATAATATATAAAATTATATTTATATGTTACTGTACCTGTACGGGTATTGCAAATGTCAATTGGCGGCGCCAACTATCACTTAACATCAGGTGAAACGCCAGCTTGTTTGCGATCTTTTTACAAAAAAAAAAAAAAAATAAAAGAATGAGTGATTTTAATATGGTTTATTAAAATAACAAAGCACTTACGAGTAATTATTTAAAAGCTACAATAAATAATATCTATTCAGCAAATAATACTGTACAAAATTGTTAATACAACTTAACATTTTTCGCTCAATGAATACAGTGGAAATAACAGCATCATCCTAGAACGGTTTTAAGTGTGACAAAAAAAAGCAAACTTTTAACAATTTGCAAATAAATCACTATGGGTTTTATGAATATTGGATTGAGAATTGTTTAATTTTTAAAATATTGTATAATGTTGATAATAGTCAATTATAGCATATTAATCTTTCGTGGACAAATATATATATAAAGGGAATAATAAATCTTAAAGGACTGTAAAAAATTCATCATTAATTTATACATTCTAAGCTCAGATTGTGTTTCGTTTAAATTTTAGTATTTTTCTTCGTTTGCATACAAAATTAATTTTACTTTGGCTTCGTAGTAAATTCCGCAATTAATTTAAAAAACAATATCCACAAAAGACAATCCTTTATACCGATGTTGCCATCGTTTTAAAATTAAAATCGTGCATGTTCTGTTATTAATAGAAATAGACGAGAGATTTTCCGTTGAGAATCTTGATAATTACGGCTAGAGCTTATTACTGCGCTACGAGAAAAATTTAAGAAACGAGTACTTATCGAGTACATAATATGATTTATTGCTTTCTATTGAGGTCAACGAACGGCCCATCTAATTGTTGCTATTATGTAAAATAATTTTTGGTTTATAAGTCGTAGACATTCGTAAGGCTATGCTGTAAATCATTACAAGCCCTGTGTTTTTTAATTTTATTAAAAAATATATTGCATTTATTTTTTTTACTTGAAATTGAAATTATAGTTAGTGATTTAAGTATTGCTAGTTTTCTTAAGTACAATACCATGTTACTGCGATGACAAATGTAACTCTACAATTGTTTTATTCTTAAATTAGCGAACTGTTGATTATGTCATTTAAGAAAATGATGATAATCGTTACTGATATTTATCATTTTGCTGTTATTTTTTTTATTTAAAGTATAATATACTTTGTAATAGTATTTCAAGGTGTTAGCTAACACCATGCAATTTAATCGAAGGAATGCTTGATTACCATTATGTTTTAAAATGAGCAATTTATTCCTCGAAGCAGTTTCCAAAAGTTTTGTCACCATAGTCGTTCCCCCATACCTGGAAGCAGAATTATTTTTATTGATAAAAAGTTTCTTGTATTGATTTAGAAAACTGTCCATGCATTGTTAAATGAAATTGTAGATTTTAGTTGCATAATTCATATACTTTTAAACACGACAAAATCTAAAAAAATATTTCATTTAGCAATCCAGATATTCTTAGTTTACCCATATACGTATAGCAAAATGAAAAAGTCACACATATTACACTAAATACCCATAATAAGCCCGTATTTTTTTTTAATTAAGTGAAACATATTGATATTAAAACCTACACCAAATAATGGTAGCAACATGCTGTTACGCTGCAACTTATGGCTTAGTTATTGTTATCTCACAACAAATACTAAGTATGATAGGTTTGATTGTGCACGTTTTGTCATGCAACTAGCATGCTACGAATACATTAGTATTGGTGAATAAGCATTAGTCACTAATTTAGGTAGATATGTAATGTGAAAATGATAAATGAAAAAATGTAAAGGCTCCTGGTAGACACGATTGTGAACTAAGGCGAATAAAGTTAACTAGATGTCACATTTTTTCATTTTTATGAAACAATGAGTGCTGAGTGATTTTGTGCACGTTATAAGAATTGAATTTGGAATACATACCATTTAGTTCATTCCACCAATATTGTTCTTATTTTGCCCGAGGGATAGGATATACGTAATGAAAAAAAAAACAAATTAAAATAATCGCCTCTCTGTTAATTCCAACACTCATTCTTTTATTATGATTTGGTATATTACAATATTACATGATAGTTTTGCATTTTAATATTTGTTGTGAGACTACAAAAACTCGTTAAAAGATGCAACGACGTCGTTAAAAAAACAAGTAAAAGATTTCATGATTGTTTATCAATTTAAACGGTTTCAGTTAAATTTACAATGAGTCAAAATCCTATTTATTAAAATGTCGAATAGGTGAAAGTAATTCCATTGTTGACGTCATCCCATCTTCAAATTAATGCCCTAGTATCTCAAATAGCGTAAAATAAATAAGTCCCTTCTATAATTTAATAACATATAAATAATGAACTTAAAAATAAAAAGTTTTTTATACAAGAAGACAGGTCAATGAAATATTCATCTATTTGTTGAACAGAACTTAAACATGAATTACTAAAGGCGTTTTTACGATGAACATGGCAGCTCTGATGAAAAAACATTTCTACATAGTCGTTTTATAATTGTATCTTGTTCATTTGATAATAATTACCAATGCCAAAATTTCTGTTCGTATAAAGATTAACTTTAATATTTTTAGAGATTTATTATTTAATGCGTAAACATATCCTTCAGTGTAATAATACTGTACCTATTGTTTATAATGGGTAAATAAGCTTTTCCGCTGATAGGCGGAAATAGAAGAAAACATGTCGGCTACGGCCACAACCATCCATTCTATTAACCACACTCATAAAATTATTATACATAAATTAATTAATATAATATGCCTAACTAGATTTTAAGTATTAAAACTGCTCTTTGACTAGGTGGAGTATGTCGGAGTTACGAAATAATTTGGGAGTTGAGTTTAGATTATTAGGTTAGTCTGAGCCCGCCACGCTTAACTAAGAGAAGTGTCACAATTATTGTACAATAATACTTTTGTTTTTTATTCGCATTAAGAAATTATTATTAATCGTGCATTTATTAACTGTAGTTTTTAAACGTTAATAATAAATTGTATTACGTATAAATCCTTTATAAATTACCCTATAAAACCTGTATTTAAAGTTCTTCAAAGTGATGTCTTTCCTGAAGTTTGATGATTACTTTAGAGATTTCAATGAAATCATTTTTCAGTAGCTAAGTTGATAATTAAATTAATCTTTTCAAAATTAAAAAAAAAAACAAAAATGATATTGTTATACATATAAAAATTGCGATGAGTGCTTAGCGAGTCGGATCGAAATGTGCGTAAAACGTGTTTTGTGTTCCATAAAAATATTTCTTATCCTAATAGATATGTACAAAACTTGCAAGTCTCTTCATCAGGATTTCACCCTCTTAAACGATTTATCAAATCCTAAAAGTTATTAACAATAAAATAAATCGCAAAATTACAAATACGGTGTAAAATATTTACAACTTGAAATGTAGGACGCATAATGATAATATAGCTTTGTCTATTTTAGGTCTTCGTTCCATAATTGCTATTACGTCGTTAAGAAAGTAGAAATGAAAAAAAAAAAAAGATTTGCATTAAAATATATAGGTATAGTTTAAAAATATCTTAACCAATAATAAATAAGGCGGGGTCTCTCTTTAACTACTTTAGCTTGATATTATTTAAGTACGTTTTAACAGAAATTAATCTAGATATGTAGTAGAGTTCGAAACTACATGTTTTCTCATCTATCACAGGAGACACAAGAGTTTCAGGACATAATTTTGTAAATTACAGAGACACCATCCTTTGTAGAAAAAGTTTAAATTATATTTGGTTGTATTAAAATGACTTTGATTTGTTATTCATTATAAATAAGCCAGAAATCGGACTTTAACGTTTTCGTATAAGTGTTAGATCGCACAATAACGTTCTTATTAATATGTTTTCTTAAAAGTTGGGTTATGTTTGCTACACGGGTTTTATAAGTGAACTAAAAATCCAGCCAGATATAAAATAGGTCTAGATAGAATCATTTAATAAGAGAAGATCAATAGCTGTCAATAAAATAATTTGAAGTATAAAAATGGTCCAATTTCATAGTATCTAATATAACAAATGTAGCACGCAATTTTTTAACCGGAACCATTTTTGTTTCTAATAAAACGGCTGGACATTCAGCCACGTAACACACGCGTTATTTATTTATTTTTTATAAATTATTTTTTTATTTAAATTAGGAACGAGACGATAAAGTTCATATTCGGAGTCGGACATCTTGTGCACTCGGTGCGTTATTGCGATCTAAATTTTAAAAATATAGAATTGGAACGAGGTGGGCTGTGCGCCGGAGCGGCGCTCGCTAACAGTAGTAGGAGGTCGATAGGCCCAGTTTGCATGTGTAGGAATGAGACATACTGCTCCTATTCGATACGTCCTTGTTCTCGCAGCGTTGCCCGTTGAATCCCTCTGGACACCTGCGGGGGTTACACAAGTGTTTGATATATATGGCAATAATAGGAAAATGGCAACACGAGGTTGGTGATCGTTCAGTTTTCAATTGCTGTGAAAAGTTAACGGGATTATTAAATATGATTGAATTTCCACAAAATAAATTCAATATATTAATAAATTTGTTTAAAGTATAAATTAGATATCATTTGTGGTGAAAGCTGTTTCAATGTTTGATTTATACTTACTTGCAAGCTTGCTCTTGAACTAATTCGAAGTATAAACAAGTGCCTCCATTGAGGCAATACGAAGATGGGTCTGGCATCGGACATGGTGCGCCCAAAGAGGCTGTAAATAAACAAAATTTAAAGTCAAAAAAAGCCTTACAAGGCAAATTAACTATAAACAATAACGAATAAAAATTAAAATAAGTGTCTATTCAAGTAAGTTTAACATGTCTCTGAAAAAAAAAATGAAAGTTCTAAAATTAAAATAACACTGTTTGCCCCAAACTTATCGATCGACCATTAAAACTGCTCAAAAGTGATATCATTAATTTAAGACGCGCTTCGAGTTGTGTTGTGCGAAACGTCAGCTATCAACTTTGCTTCCATACGAGCGCTTGCAATTAACCCTATTAGCGGGATCGGTGCGTACTTGTGCGATTGCGTCGGAAACAACTGTCGACCGCCGAGAATCCGAACAATATAGGCCTCTTGGGAATCAGACGCAGCGAGCCTTATTATTCATCGAAGGTAACTGATCATACCGCCGGCCTTCACAATGGCGTCGTTAGACATTCGCGGAAAATACTGTAACCGTTCCCTCGTGCGAGTTCGCGGGAAAACGCACCGGTGTCGGGCATCGGTAAACATGCGTGACATATTCTGTGCATTCGCATGTCAATTGATTAAAAGAAAGAAAATTGCTTCCTTCTTCTATTCGAATATTTATGAATCGGTTTGAAGAAGAAAAATCATTTCAATGAATAAAATTATTAAAATAATTTATAGATGTACTATATATTTTTGTATAAGCGTCGTTTTTATATGTTTGAAAAAATTTCATTTGAAACGTGTCCTATTGAGTTTATTAAAATTCTGTGACTTGATTTTGAAAATAATTATATAGTTAAAGTTTGTTTAGTAACCGATAATTCGAACCTTTACCTTAAAACAAGTACTGCGATCGCCGAACAGAGCGGCCTAGTTTCGATTACATACAGAGGAATGATGCCTTGTAAATAGCGCGCCATATTCCGATCCAGACTGGACGGAACGTTGCCATAAGCAAACAGTCATTTGGACCGCGCAGTTAGGGCGACATAAGAATGCAACAGCCGTCGACCTACCGCCTTAGAGTTGTTAAAAATGTACATTCAGTGTAATTTTCTAAAATGGTGACAACACACGAAACTAAATTAAGAAGGTTAGGATTATATTTCAAAATTTTCAGGATAAAGAAATATACATGACTGTGCTTTTATAATTTTTTATCTAAAGCTGCTAATGTTGTCCGGCCAACATCCAGCAAAACATATTTAATAACTGCGATTTCCATCGATCCATGCACGAAGTTAATGTATTTTGTATTTTGCTCTTAATTTCGTAAAACTTTATTGACATTAGATCACGTCGAAAGTGATAGATACACAGTTTAATATAAGCATAAGTTCTCACACTTCTAAGATTTATTTCAGAATCGTCAATTGGCCAATCTACAAAGGTTGGAGTGTGATACTGTAGCTGTGGGAGCTCATTCACTCCTGGTTTGGTAAAAGCCACTTTATAAGTTTTTCAAGTGTGAACAGTGAATAGAGAAAAATGACGAAGAGTCTGTATGGACAAATCCCAATACGTGAAACTTTATGAAACAACATCGAATAGGGTTGCTAGTTACCGGTGTCCGGTGCGGCCGTGGTGGGCGGGAGGACGCTGACGACGGCCCTGGCGACCGCCGGCGGGCCGATCGCGCCCTGCGCCCTGCACTCGTAGCTCGCCGAGTCCTCCCGGCGGGCGTGCCGTATCACCAGCACCGAGCGCCGTCTGGAAGCGACGATCGCATTGGCTCTCGATGGATCGAAGGTGCAAGAGGCGAAGACGCAGCCAAATCGACACTTCGCTCCTAACGCCCGGTTTGTGATACACTCATCGTCGTAGACGTCAACTAATCAGCTGTCAAATGGCTTTTCAAATGTTATTTACGTTGCCAAAATGATGGTCAAGCTCTCTATTATCATTGATTGATCAGAATGATATTCTTAACGATCAGTACGTCTCACGCAAATAGTGGCAGTGAATAATTTATAATTTCTTATAGCGACTGTCTCTTATAATGCCACGCTTTACAAAATTCGAACGCTTTGCAAAATTCTGCTTTTTTATTATATTCATATTCGTTAGTGATTTTTTTCTATCGAATAAAAAATTTTGTACGGTCGAAAAACGTCGCGTAAGAATGTAAACGATTACTATCACTTAATATCAGGCGTTGCCTTCGCTTGCTCATTTGCAACTTCTAACATGAAAAATAAAAGAAAAGATTAATAAACGTACTTTTTTTTTTAAAAAACCAGGGAAATGTTGAATTTTTGAATAGAATAGAATATACTTTATTGCATAATACATAGAAAATCCAGGAAACGTAGTGTATATACAGGCGGCCTTGTTGCTAAGATAGCAATTTCCTCCAGGCAAAGACGAATAAAAGTCACAGAGGGTGGAAGGAGAAAACCTAAAGAATAAGATTTCATAAATCAAATCTTTGACAGGTAGCAAAAACGAGCGCACTACTCTATTAATGTGAGTTATTGTTAGTTACTTCTTAAACTCAAAAGGAAAATTTAACTCTAGCCCTTATTACTTGACCTAGATTACTTAAACTAGATTAATTATTCGATTAGTGTAAATTATTTATAGATAAAAACTGTGAAAAATGTGTAAATATTTTGTATTGTGTAAAGTTAACATTTTCAGGAAATATGACGCATTATATGATTCAATTATGTTTAACTATGTCTATAAAATTATGTTAAAATGCCAACCAACAACTTATATACATTCGCATCTATTTAATTTTAAAAAGTTGATTTTAGTTGTGTAATTTATACGATACAGAATATATAAAAGAAAATAAATTTAACAGAAAATCTTTAGTAACCTTCATCAAGTTTGCTTTTACGTAACAGAATATATAGAATAACATAAATATAACAGAAAATCTCTAGTAAAGTTCATCAAGTTTGCTGAAAGTATTGAAAAGTTAATTTTATTTAACGTTAACGCCACTGAATGTACTTGGCGGTAACTAGATGTCGCTGTAATACAATTATAGGAGGACGTGAAAAGCGATCCACATGAATCAGACTACATCGAAGGAGAGAAGAGGTCGCTGATGCATCGGCATGACTAAGCTGATCTAGATGAATGGATAAACATGGATGTAATGGCCAATAACCTTAATAATAAATCGCCTCTGACTGTTGTCGCATGGACGCTAATGTATTGTTATTTAGAAAGCGCCGCGTCCGACCAGAGAGATCTCATCAGAGACAAATGTAGATCGAGCACGGGTTGGCGCGAAAACTTTTCGGTTTTGTAAAAATGTTCTTGTTTTCATCTTCACTTTATAGCTATGTGGTTTTGTTTAGTTTTTCTTATTCATTGTATTTGTATTCTATATATCATGTCTGTTATCTTTAAGAGCCATTTCAAGTAATACGCAATATAATAATATATAATAATAAATAATTATAATTTATTTAGAAAATAAGTGAAAAGCTGTCATGTAAAAATTTATTGTAATATGGCCAAAAGATTAATTTTTTAAGCAATTTAGAAATTTTATGACTATTAAACTTAGTAAATGCAAAGACTATCACGAAATGTTCTTATTTTTAAGCTCGGGGCTTATTTACTTAATATTTTTTATTTATTTGTTTCGCACATAAAACTGATGTGTGAGAAGACCGCTTCCTCTTTGAGAGCTTAGCAAAAATATATATTTTCCATATTTCATGACCAACCTATATGCCAGTATTAAATCAGAAGAGCGTGTACAAAAAAAGCAACGGTTTCCGAACGCACCTTTCAGAGGCGTAGCTTTAACGCGCTCGAATAAGTTATCAAAGCGCCTCACTCCTAAGTATAGACATATATTTCTGGAAAATGCCTGTCGTTCCTCAGAAACTCAGAAACGGATTCCACTCGTCTGTCGTCGCGTCTACGCACAGTTCAACGACAGAACTGACTCCCCGGAATATATAAATGCGTGATTAATTAACCGTCATTGCAGTAACGGGCAGAATGGTAATACGTCTTGAAGTTATACTTATTTTGCCGTGTTTGGAAAAATTATGAGAGTAAAGTTTTAAGGATTCGCGCGCACACCGACACGCAAAAATCGATATGATGCTTGGTAACCAATTTAACAAAATTAAGTAATAGTAATAAGGACAACCAATAATAACTTATTCACATTTACAAAAAATTCCAAGTGATTTAAATAAACCGTTATCAATTGCATTTAATGTACTTTTACGTTACTTTACGCTAAAGAAATATAACAAACACATACTTTTTTCATAAGTAAATTTACATCTTCAACTACTACCAAAAAACTGTAACAACAATTAGGTATTATCATTGATGTAACGAACAATTCTATGATATAATTCTATTTTCTTGCTTTTCACATTTATATCATTGGCTAATAGTAAAATAAAAATTGTTCGTATTTTATGATAAATTTTTACACTTTTTTTGGTAACGTTGACACTTCTTTATTTTATAAAACAAAATATACTAAATTTAAAAAAAGGAACAAAGTTATGACACAATTTATAATCAACTTTTACTCTTATTCTCTATGACAGTTTTATTATTTAAAAAAAACGAATGCTGAATTAAAAAAGAAACAAAGTTGTGACAGCAATATAACTCGATTAAAGGCGAAAGAGCAAAGTTCATCGAACTGAAGACTAGTAGAGCTTCGTGCAAAAATATTTAGTGCACCCGCAATCAACGACCCATGACACCACTGTCTGGATCACTTCACACTAATTGCTCGATAGAACTATATCTCTCCGACTCCTGTGTCGGTTGTATTAAGGGCGAGTATCGCGTGCAGAGAACACCGCGGACGATTACTAAGAGTACTCGGGTCATTCGCAGGAGTCTGTACTTGCCATCAGCACAAACAGTTTGCAGAATTGTTTAATGCAGCACGCTGGTGAATATAAGCAACACGTGCGTTCATGTATCGCTTCATTTCGGATCAAGATCGTCAGTTTATTATAGACAACATAACTAGGTCGCTCCAGCGCGCGCGTCGTCCAGCATTGGGTAAACAAATAACGATGTTTAAAATTTCCATTTTGTATTGCGGTAAATAGATAAGTTACGAAAGAGCAACTAATAATTATTTATAACAAAAAAAAATATCCGAGTTCAAACTGAAAACTAAAAAATATTGTTAATGGCTATAACATTTGAGGATTTATGATTTCCGTCGATTTCTCTGGGATGTCATCTTCAGATCCAGGTTTCCTAATCATGGTACCACCCTTGGGATATCTCCTTTCCAACAAAAAAATAATCATCAAACATAAGAAGACGAAGTTATCCGCGAACACACAAAAAAATTAAAATATATACGGTCGAATTGATAATCCTTCCTCTTTTTTGAAGTCGGTTAAAAAGAAGAAAATTAGGTTTTTGTCACAAAAGAAAAGGCAAAATATGAAATGCGGTAACTAAATTTGAGTAGTAGGTAAACGTGTAATAATAAGAAAAAAACTGCGATCTGAACTTGAGAAAGAAAACCTTCATATCTAAGAATACTAAACTATGCCAAGTTCGCAAATACGCAATGGCAGTGTACTGTTGCGACAATTACGCACATTTTGCGTTTAATTCCGTGATGCGCCCTTGTTAAGTAGAGAAAAGACCAATACAGTGTAATTCAAAGTCAAAGTCGAAATTTCTTTATTCAATATAGGCTTAATTTAAGATCTTATTGAATTTAAAAAAAAACCACCACACCGGTCCACTAAACTACACCGACGAGAAAAGAACAGGAACGAAACTCTGCGGTCTTTTTATACCAGTTTTTAGTGATACAATTATATACGATTAATTAATATCTTCCCTCACGGTATTTACTGCTGCCTCGCGACAAGCTCACCAGTAGTTCCGCACCCAAAACCGTACCAATACAGCGCAACGATTACGTTCCCTCGTGAAGTTCACGATGGCTCGTGACAAGCGTACCAGTACTTCAACACCCAAAACCGTACCAATGCAGTCAAAATCAAAGACACACTTACTTATTGATAGTCAAAAAACTCCACTACCGGTTCGGAAAGAAAGCCACTGATCTGAGAAGAACGGGCGAAAGAAACTCAGTGTGATAATAAAGTGCCCTCGTGAAGTTCACGATGGCTCGCGACAGGCTCACCTGTAGTTCTGCACCCGGAACCTCCGCAAGGCGATGTCGGCGACAGGCTTGCCGTCCTTGTACCAGGTGATGCGCGGCGGGGGGCGGGCGCTCGCCTGGCACTCCAGCCTCACGCGGCCCCCGCGCGGCGCCTTCACCGGCTGCATTGGCTCCACGCGCGCTGGGCTGCCTGGTTTCAGAGACATTAATGGCGTGTTATTCGACTGCGCGGCTCACGGAATAGGAGAGAACTGGATTTTGTCTTTTAATAAAATGGAAACGCAGAAGAACACACACACACACACACAGATTAACAAAGAAGAAAATGAAGAAATTGAAGAACGTACAAGCCATGGCTAAAACTAGAATTATAAAGGTCGTTCTGTCCGATCTAATTATTCATAATGAGAGAAATTCTATGGCCTATTTTCAAAGAATTTCTTTTATATATGATATATTTGATAAAATGGCAATTTAACATAATATGTCACAGTTGTAATGCAATATTAAATAATCTACGGTCAATCAGAGCAAATGAGGTACGGGTGAGAAATAAACAAATATGTTGAAATAAACATATATGTTTATATAAAAATGAATTGCTTTTCGTTAGTCTCGCTAAAACTCGAGATCGGCTCGACCAATTTTGGCTAATTTTGCTTCTGAAATATTTGTGGCAGTCCAGGCAAGTTTAAACGATGAGAAATTATGGAAAATTTGCATGGAAAATCGAAATAGTAACAATTTTATTTTCCCATACAAACCAGTCAACTGTATCCTGTCAAACACTTTATGCGTGTTTTAAAGAAATTCTCTTTCAATGTGTTCAGATTGACAAATTCCCTAGAAATAATTTATATCGCAAAACAACGTTTGTTGAGTCAGCTAGTACTCAATAAGTAACGGAAAATCGATAGGGTGACACGGGCGTGAACTTCGTCAGTGTTACATGGTGTCTTTGGTCAGTTGTGATTCAGCTCCATAAAGAATCATGAGATCATTGATACCTATTTAATGACAACTGAATTACCAACGAAAAGAAAATTGGACTTGAGAAAAAAATACAATTAGCGTTTAAATTGTCGACTTAAAGACACGACATCTGTTTTATCGCAATACCCGTACCTTTTGCCAAATCTTTTAAAAGTTAAATACGGCCGAGATTTATAGGGAGGAACGTGTAAACATAGTCGAGGAGCCCTAACGCTTTCTCACCTTACACATAAGAGGCGACGCGTCCAAAAGCTCCAAGCTAAAAATACGCCCGCTGTCATTAGGCCAATGGCCTTATTATATCAACGGACGAATAACATATGTATGGACAGAAATAGACGACGGGCGTTATCTAAAAGGGAGACATCCTTTGGTCACAAAAAAATTGGCTCGCTCTCGGCTAGAAGAAGAAAAAGTGTATGTAATTTATTCGAAGTGTTACCAAGCTACGCTTAAACGCTTACATGCTGTGGGTAAAACGAACGAACAATGTTCATACAAACCTTTACAATTGCTTTGGTTTTTTCCCTACTGGCAACTATGTATTTCTGTCACGCCAAGCAACTCGCTAAAGCATAATAATATATAACTACTTTTACATTTCTTCAACGACTTTTTAATTCTGGCATTAGCCGTCAATAATTATCACAAAATTAATTTGAATTGTTATTTTCAAATTAAAGTAGGCACAAAGTTTAATTATCTTCCGTTTTTTTTATTTCAATTACTGTTCTATTTCTAATGTCACATTTATACATTAAGTTTGTGTAATTTACGATTTGTATCGAAAATCGCTTAACACTACTTGTGGTTTGATACTAACAAAAAAAAATCTTGTCTAAGCCAGTGCTTTAGCAAATATATTTAGTACATACACATATTTAGTTTCATATTTAGCCTCGTCATTACGCTTGTAATATTTGTTTTTCTATTCTTTCAGCAGGTCTTCATAGAAATATCGTCAAGGGAACAAAACAATCTATTTGTTAGTTTCGAGGTTACTGAGCTAAATTCTTCTTCTTAAGTCTTTTATTTAAAAGCTGTTTAAAGTTCATGATATACTCGTAAAGCGAATGTTTTATTTACGAGTACTGTTTAAGAATTAAACACGAATGGTTTACGTTAACATGAGATAGTATGAAGGAGTTTTTTTTAGATGGCTCAATTGTCAAATACTTGATACAAGAACTTACTTGAACTAAAAATTAAAATAACATTATATGGAAATGAAATTACATTATATAAAAAATAAAATAATATTACTGGACAGATTTAAAGTATATTTTGATAGTTTTTTTCAAATTTCGTGTATACGCCAAACGTTATGCTTCAAATGTTAAACTTTTCGCACATAGAGGCCATGCCACGTTATTTATCCACGTTTCTAACGCCTACATTTCATTCATGAGTTCGAAAGAAACTATTCCATTCGGCGTCGTGACAAAACCCCGCCAAAAATCTGCCTACGCCGTTGAAGTCATCTCAGCGATGGAAACATGAATGGGATCACGTGTCATCGACTTTGGAGAAAATATAGAATATGTTTTTACGCACCGCAACTTCCGCAGGTCAATAATTACTATTTTTTGTCTTTTAACTCTGTAAAATAGCAGTTTGAACACACTGTATCTATTAGACTCGGGGCTAAATTTTAATATATATATTTTCGAGTTAAACAATACAAAAGAAAAAACGATTTCAGTAGTGTGTTCCAATTAGCTTATATTTTTCGGTGTTTCATGCGAAAATAAATGACTCATATGTGTCCGGTGTTCAAGGGCATCTCATTTATGTAAATATATCTTGAAGTATTTATTTTATGTTTAACCCTCGAGATAAATGGCCGACAAACGACTCTAATCATGAGAATGTTTCAAACGGCGAATATACGGCATTTAATCACCAACCTAGCATCAGAAATATCAAAGAGGTAATGAGTCTCTAACTTTGAAAGCTAGGCCCTAACTCTAGGATCAATACTCTCACTGATTTAAACGCCCGTGAATAAAAAAAATGTGCTTGCTATAGTCTTAGCTAAAGCGGTCAGAAAACGATCAATTGTCAATTTTACATCTAAATCAGTTGCCAATGATAGTTTAGAAGTGCAATTCACGTAATTAATTGATTGGAAGTAATTTATAAAGTTTTTAATCGTTTCGATGATTTATTGACTATAGCTTCTACAATTCGTCTGAACATTAACGCGTTAATTGAAACTGAATCAATGGCATTTCAACTGGAAGTATCCAATGATTTATATACAAATAAGGTATGATGACACTAACGCACCGAAACTGAGGCACCAAATTACACCAACCGTTGTAATTTGATTGTAATTCTGTAGACTGCTATCTCTTTCCGTATCATACATTCTATATCATCTGTCACATTCACTTATATATGTCATGAGATGTAAAACGGAACAATTTTTAAACGCCATGCAGTAGGGATAACGTTATCTATATTAATTAATACCATTGGGAATTACCCCTGACTTTTATTAATTTTAGTAACTGCAAATGCCTAAAGATCTCACCGCATATTTTGACTGGTAGAGAAGACCGCCTTTTGGGTTCTATAATTTTTACGTAAACGCAGTAAAGATTAAATGAATCTTCCCCCATAATTCGGTCCTCTTAAGAGCTTATTCTCGAATAGTTCCTGCGAAGCGTTTTTTTTTAATGTTGCCCGTCCGATCTTCGCTGCCCACCCTAAAAATAGCGGCGCGCCGTGAGCGTATCCTGAACGGAAGGGAAACTGGAGCGGCAGGTGAGTCTGGACGGTGGCCAAGAGACGCCAGTGACGACGGGGCCGCGACGTTCTTCCCGACGTCAAAAGTGCGCTCCGAATGAGCAATTTCTACGAGATTGAGTATAGGTATAACGTATGAACTTTTTATGTGCTGGAATCTGGAAGCTAGAATGGCGGTTAACCTGATATTAGCAACAGCCTTAGAGTTGCAGATGCGATGCCAAATTTTAATAAATCCCCTCACCTAACCTCAATCACCAGACGAAACCCAGAATATAACACTTCAACTTCACGCCTGTCTTTCTTGGGGTTGTACTACCTCGGACTGACTTGCCCATTCGTGAATTAGCGAAGAATTTGAAAAAGACATCTGTCATTACTAGGTGATTGTATTAGTATAGTAATCAAACTCATTGATACAATAATTATGAATGCATTTTTACGTAATTGCGTTGGTTACGTAAAAATACATTATACGCTACAATTTTTCAAGCCTCGGCGTTACAGCTTCGCGTCGAGAGATGTCTCTAGTTATATTATGTTTTGACATATAATTTGATAATTTTTCATCGACTTCAAAACGAGGAGCTTATCAACTCGATCGGCATATTTTTTTTCGATGTACGTACACCATTTACGCTGAGATTTATCATCCGATTTACGTGATTCTTCTTTAGTTTGATTCAGAATAGTTATGCGAATAGTTAAGAGTTAGAATAGTTATGAGTTAGTTATTATATAATACATTTTATGAACATTTTTTATAACATGAAATATTTCATTGAGAATATAATAATGATAAAAATCTTTTATAAACGAATTTTTAAAATTAACGAAATAATAAAATTGAAATGAATTAACATTTCAATCTTTTTGCTTGTGTTTTATGTGTTTACTAAAACAATAAAAACTTATATTTGTTATCCTAGACAATTTTATTAACATAAAAATAACATCGATTTTGAGCACATATAAGAATTATGCAGTTATTATAAATAACTTTATATAGCTAGCTTTAATTATAAGCATAAACATACAAATTATACCTTTGTTTGACACTGGCTATCGTAAAAAAGTGCCGTATTACGCTTGGGCAAAAAGAACACTTAGCTTTTGTTAAGTTACCTTACGATCAATAAATATAGATTAAAAATAGCTCTAAACAGACCAGGGTATAAAACGGTGCAATAGATTTTGAATAGCATTAAATTTAATGATTTTAATCCTTTTTAAGTGTTATTTATGGAAGCTGCATGTTCATAATTGTAGCTCAAGATAATTATCATCTATCATTGGTGTAAGTATCAAAAAAGTTTCGCTATCTACCTGCCAAAAAAACGTGATTTGATAAAAGTGTAGGTACTAGATAGAAAATTGGCAGTATAACTGTTAATAAACTGTCTGTATGGAGAAATCTGAAGACATTAAACTTAAACAATAAAAAACAAGTGCACTATTCCCG